TTCACAGTGTGTTGAAGAATTGTCACTCCACAACTTGCCTCATTAAAAGTTGTGAACAATGAGTGATGTGAAATGCAGAGGAAGATCCTGGTGTTTCCAACTTTGCAAAAGCATCAAAGCAAATAAGAAGCAAGAAAGCTTTCAAGAAATCAAAAATAATGGCTAAAAAAAGTAAGCCTAAATCTTTTGACGTTCTTATGTTATATAATCTTATTTTATGGAATTTCTTAGAATTTCTTCCTTCGGATTTCCTCTTTTATTTGTTTCTCTCATTCTTGCTTCATCTCATGATGCTTGTCACGCTTGCATGCACGATGACATGTGTTAACGTACGTGTCTTATAATCAATTACCAATAGAGCAATTGCTGCCAGGTAGAAGAGAATGAAGATATATATGTATTTTAATATATGGAAAGGGATATCCAATGTTACTACTACATCTTAACCGTTGATTTTCGTCAATCAACGGTTATCATTTATTGCGAATTAATAATTAATTAATTTTCGCGAATCAACGGTTATCATTTATTGTGAATTAATAATTAATTAATGAGTTTGATTTGAAAAATGATAACCGTTGATTGATGGAAATCAACGGTTAAGATGTGGTAGTAACATTGGTGGTAATATTATTTGGTTGTCACAATATCTTATCCCATATGGAAATCATATTAATCTTTTTCTTAGAAACTTTCTAGTTATATAAAAATTGGGTAAAATGTGTGTCATTTTAAAGGATGTAAAATTATATCATTTTAAGAGAGAGAAAGAGATAGATAAAGAAGGAGAGAGAGTTGACAAAAAAAAATAAAGGTGTGGGTCACACCTCTTTGTGAGAGTGAAATGATATAAATTGTGTCATTTAAAAGGATAAACATTTTTCCCATAAAAATTATACCAAACCTATCGTACTTGCAACAAAATAAAAAATGTCCAAACAAAATATGATTTTTCAGCTAAAGGCAAGGGTGAAACGAAATAGTGAACAATACTTTCAACATGGTTATAAAAACTGAAAAGAAACGTTAATCACATCTTACATCAGCGCTATTTCGCATGACTTTTAAGCTTAAACCATGTCGTAGCTAATTTAGGCTTTTAAGCTTAAACCATATTGCATCTAGACAAACAACAAGTTATCTTGATAAAAATTCTTATAATAAAATAGAATTATTGTGAAAATATTTTACAACTCGGTCAATATATTGTTTTATGAAGATACTGGTCTCGTATTATCCAAAAAAAGAAAGAAAGAGAAGATACTGGTCTCGCCTAAATGGTGCGACATGTTTGCTTAAAAGCCATGCGAACTAGCGCTGATCTAAGATGGGATTAGTGTTTCTTTTCAATTTTTATTATCATGTTGAAAGTATTGTTCATTATTTCGCTTCACCCTTGCCTTTTGCTGAAAAATCATATTTTGTTTGAACTTTTTTTATTTTGATATAAGTACGACAGGTTTGGTATAATTTTTATAGGAAATTACACTCTTATGCTACATAAGAGTCCTATCTCATTTTACACTCACATAAAAAGACGTGCCTCTTTTTTCTTTCTTTTTTCTTTTTTTAAAAATTGATGAGTCTCACTTAATTTATCTCACAACATGAGATAGCTTCTCTCATACAACATGAGAGAAGTAAAACCCAATTTTTATATAACTAGTAAGTTTCTGAAAAAAATGATTAATATGATTTCCATATATATCTTCATTCTCGTCTACCTGGCAGCAATTGCTCTATTTGGTAATTGGTTAAACACATGTCATCGTGCATGCAAGTGTGACAAGTATCATGAAATGAAGCAAGATTCAGAGAAAAAAATAAAAGAGGAAATTATTAGGAAGAAAGAGCACGAGATGGAGGGATGATATATTGTGCTAAGTCTCGTTTTATTTGGGCGAGTTTGGTGACGCCTAAATTAGGCGAGATTGCTAAGAGGTATTTTGTTTAAATTGGGCGAGGGTGTTTTCGTCAAAAATAGACGAATCTAATTGTAATAAATTGTAAATTAGTTTAAAATAATTATATTTTTATAATTTTTTATTAAATAATAATTATTAATTTTTTTTCCAAATAAAAGTTTGTACAAATTTGAGGGGATAATCGCCCACCTTAATCCCCGCACTTCACCACGGATCTTCAAACTGCGAAATGTATAAAAATCAATTCTTTCTCATTACGTTTTTAAGAAAAACCTATTTCTTTTATGAGATATAGGTAGCGGTTTCCATTTATTAGTTGAATGTTTGATGCTCTAATTAATATTCTGTACAAATATGATCCAGAACAACATAACACAGTTGAATACATAATTTAGCCGGCCATTACTTATCCCTAATACTAAATTTTAATTGCATAAATATTGTCGAATTTATATTTAAATATTCTCATAAGCGTTGAGTTTTATAAATTAGAAAATGATGCTGATTGATTGATATAGTTATATAATTCGATAAATAAATTGTTATATATTATCTTTGTTGTTTTGTTTTAGTTAAGTTGAATTTGGTAATTGGTTAAACACATGTCATCGTGCATGCAAGTGTGGCAAGTATCATGAAATGAAGCAAGAATGAGAGAAACAAATAAAAGAGAAAATTATTAGGAAGAAAGAGCATGAGATGGAGGAATGTCATATTCTGCTAATATTGGATTGAGATTTCAAAGGATTTTAACGGATTATTTTTAGACAAAAAAATTTATTGGTATTCAATTAGAATTTTAAAGAACTGAAAAAAGTCATGTGGTATTCGATTAGGATTTTAAAAGATTATTTTATACGCCGTCCAAATTTGTTGGTATTCAATCAGGATTTTAAACAAAAGAAAAATAATATTGTGGTATTCAAAAATCTTACGATTTTAATGGATTTTCTATTGGTGTGGATTTCACGAGATTTTTAATAAGATGTCTCTCTCACAATCTCACATTCTCATCCTAACCCCTAGAATTTCTTGAGATTTCTCTATTGCAGTGTCTTCTTCTTCCTTTGGTGGGTCGACCTGCTCGAAATCGAATTATGACATAGGAGCTTCGTCAAAGCTCAAAAACAACAAATTTTTGAGCGATGTTCATCATAAAATAACTCAGAAACAACAACCCAACAAGATTTTAATCCAATTCATCTCAAAACAGCATATTTTGAAGCAATTTTTGAGAATTTTTGAAAGTTTAAAATTGATTTTTCAAGCTATTGATCATGATTTTTCTTTGTACGAAAATGTGTGATTTTTGTATTAAAAACAATGTAAATAATGGGAAAACAACATGGGAACAAAAATCTCCTAAACCAATTTTCATTTTACATCAATGAAACAAGATCGATTTAAAGAAAGATTGAAACTTTCATAATATGAACCATATGTTTCATAATAATATATTCATGAACGAAATTCCTTCACTATAGGAAACGATTTCAAACAACTTTTGTGTCAATAGATAACTAAAAGCTTGTTTTTCAAAACCCCCAATGCAAATTAAGATTTCAATGTATTAATTGAAAACAATTTGAAAAATTTGCTAAACTTTCATGTAATAAAACCCAGAAATTCAGATTCGATATTTTCTTGGAATACTCAATGAAAACATGCATATGATATATTGTTAGAAAACTCTTATCACGTAGAACAAAAATCCCAAGATTTACAAGATCAATTGCAAAAAATTCCAAACAAGAATTTACTTTTCTTATGAAATCTTGATTGTAATAAAAGTCTTTTAAAAAAGTCTTTAAAATCTCTCCAATTATGAATAATCTTTTAAAATCTATAAGATTTTTTTATCTTAAAATAGTCTTTTAAAATCTTAATCCAATACACTCCCTAAGTCTCGTTTCATTTGGGCGAGTCGCCTAAATTAGGCGGGATTGCTCAGAGGTATTTTGTTCAAATTGGGCGAGGGTGCTTTCGTCAAAATTAGACGAATCTAAATACAAGTTTTAAATTAGTTCAAAACAATTCTATTTTTATAATTTTTTATTAAAATAATATATTATTTTTTTTTTTCCCGAATAAAAGTTTGTACAAATTTGAGGGGATAATCGCCCACCTTAATCCCTCCCGCACTCCACCACGGATCTTCAAACTGCGAAATGTAAAAAAATCAATTCTCTCTCATTACATTTCTAAGAAAAACTTATTTCTTTTATGAGATGTAGGTAGCGGTTTCCATTTATTAGTTGAATGTTTGATGCTCTAATTAATATTCTGTACAAATATGATCCAGAACAACATAACACAGTTGAATACATAATTTAGCCGGCCATTACTTATCCCTAATACTAAATTTTAATTGCATAAATATTGTCGAATTTATATTTAAATATTCTCATAACCGTTGAGTTTTATAAATTAGAAAATGATGCTGATTGATTGATATAGTTATATAATTTGATAAATAAATTGTTATATATTATCTTTGTTGTTTTGTTTTAGTTAAGTTGAATGAAAAATGATTGCCACTTAACAACTAGATTCTCGTGTAAAAAATGTGGGACTTGTAAGTAACTGGGGTACGTTTGGCATCTTTGTCTATAATCATCATTGCTATTCTTAAACAAATAAAGCTTTTATTTTTGGTAAAACAAGTAAATTTGTTTTTTATAAAAAAGAAGAAGAAGAAGAAAAGTGGATACTACAATTAGGACTACCATTTAATTAGTATGAAAAAATGAAGCCCCAAGCACCAAGTTGTCTTAAATGATAAAGTGATTTTTAAGTTTTTACCATCCTTATTGCATATAAAATTAATAATAAAATCATTTTATAAGGCCATCCCGTCGAGAAATTATGGGATGCTCCTAAAACACATTATTTTGATGAAGTTGAACTGCCTCCTAAAATACATAGTAACATGACATGATTTATTTCAGTTTTTGGGAGTACGTGTTTCAAATTGCTCCCACTAGAAAAATGACAACATTGCTTTAATTAGAGATCATCTTTGCAATCTTGGTATAATGGTGAAGTGTTTGAGTAGGTTGTATTAGATTACGTGTTCAATTCTCACTTGTATAAAAAAAAAAAAATCATCTTTGTAAAATTGGGCATATTTTCCCTCTATAACAACCATGTGTTAAATTCCCAACTCGGGATTTACAGAGCAATTGTTTTCCATCACAAGAACTTACAGAAATATCAACTCACCCCGTGTATCATCTCATCAATACACCGAGACTAAACTCCATCTATTAAGTCAACGAAACACAAAGGACAAGAGAAAAACCCCCCAGGCAAGGAAGGATCAAGAAATTAAAGCCAAAGTTTACTATTCCTATTACTTACTCCATAAACTTGTTCAGAGCAGATATAGAGATGCCTGTGCATGAGATTATGTCGTGGCTCTCCACAATATTTAGGCATATCAAAGAAATAAAACATGATTCTGTCATCACAACCCATTGTCTTCGTTTGTTTTTTATTCTGCACTCTGATCTTGCATGCATCTGCAATACTTACAAGCGTCAAGTGAAGAAATTAGTTAGAATATCAAAATGAGATTAAAAACTTCAAAATAAATGATGTAGAGGATGAACTAATAATGATTGTACAAAAAAAAATTTAACCCCAATTGTGGATATATCTAAAACTCTAGAAGCTAAGGTCGTTAAGGTGAATCCAGGAAATTTAGTGAGAGGGAGCGAAGAAAACAAATGCACACTAGCTTAAGCAAGGTAACAAAGTAGTGGGTCAATACCTAGTTAGATTTGAAAAACTCTCCCAAGTTTTTTTCATACATGAAGAATAATAAGAACAAAAGCTCGAAAACTAAGGTTGAAGGGGGACGAACTTATGATACATTACTTTCATCCTAAGTCTGAATATGGTCTAAAACAAGGACATGCATGAAGTTGGGTTGCCTCCACCAGTGATTGCTTATGTTCAGAGACCAAATTAATTTTTTTTTTTTTGTTTAGAAAAGTTAAAAAATGATTTGAAATGCTATAAGATTATTGATCCCTTAGAATATATGACAAAATAATTCCGATTAAGTAAAGCTTTAATAGTTCCATATGAAACAGGTGCTTTGCATCAATAACTGAGAATGCCAACAACTGATACCTAATAAAAGATTATAAAATATGCATAAGTGCATTCATGCCAAATCATGCAGGGATACAAAAAAGATAAGTTAATCAGCGAAAATATCAATATGTAAAGATTTCAGGCTTGAAAAACTGAAGGAATCCAGTTTAAGGATCTGGCAGAACTCGCAGTCCCAACCCTCTAAAGAATATGTTGGACATTATAAAAACATGATCTTGTCATTAGATTTTAAAGCAAGACAAACATTTGAATCAGAGTTTAACATGAAAATGAGACTTACAAATTTTGTAAAATCTGTTCATAAACTTCTATCATCATTGAACGACCCCTCTCTAGGCAAAAAAACATGTCCACCATTCTTTATATGTCTGCTTTGAAAGGACAAAATTATAAAATTGTCAAAGCAAAATTAGAAGGTTCTGGGTGGGTTAATATCGTGTCTATTGACACTAGTGTAGACAATGTTTGAAGATATACCATATGAAAGTTTATCCATGCCTAAAACTAAAGGAAAACTAAAAACAATTCTGTTTATATGCTTACCATCTTGATCTTATTCCAATTTCCCGGAGCTCATGCAATCGATGAGCTATGTCTTGAATAAATTGTTTTCCATCATTTCCATTTTGAAGAGAATTTACTATGTGCTCAAGAAGATCATGATCAAATTCGAGTGCTTCCAACCTGTCATTAAGGTCTGATATTTCATTTTCTAGAGCAACCAACTCAACTTCTTTTCCAGGAGTGGAAGTTTTTGGTCCAATAGATGCGGATTCATTGTTTTCAATACTAAGTGAACAATCACCACTCTCTGAAACAGCTGGCCCATCCTTATCATCATGACTTCCATTTAATGTGTTAATATTTTTCTGTATGGACAAATCAGGCTCTTCATGACCATCTAATTGAGGCCCTTCACCATTAGAAGCTCCTTGTTGATCCAATTTACCTACTTCAGGCTTTTCAGGTCTAACATTGGGTACATCGGATGAAATTTCATTACAAGAAATTTGATGAAGCTTCCTTTCCAAGCATTTCAAACATTGTGAAATGTATAGCTTTTCCTCTTCAAATTCAAAGGATGAGGTTCCACCAGCTACAGCTTCATCACTGACTTTGGATACCTCAGCAAACTTTGAATCAGAATAATTGTTCGCAGTATTTTTGACGTTATGCACACCAATATTTTGTACTGTGACGTTTTCTTCTTTCGAATCAAAACTTTCCTTATGCATACTGTGGACCGTAGGCTCATCGGTCATGTTTGCCCTATAAAATTCCAGTTCGTCTTCCATATCTTGTATCTCTTTTTCCTTTTCTGTGAGTAGATCATTAACTTTCTCCAATTCTTCATTATCATATTCTGCTTGCTCTTCCATCATTCTTAAATATTGAAGAGCCTCCATTTGCAGCGCTGCCTTCTCCTCTTGTAACCTTGTAATCATAGACATTGCTTCATTTGCAGCAATAGCAGAGGCATTTCTCTCTTCCTCCAGTTCCTTATGTAAAGCATCCAAGCATTTCTTGTCATACTCAATCTGTCGCTTCAATCGATCAACAATAGACTCCCCTTCAATTTCAGTAACATTGCTTTCATCCAGAGATTCAAGAGCAGATTCAACTGAGGCCGACTTTTGAAGTACCCGCATTTCATTTGAACTAGAATCCTCAACGGGTATCTCATGGGAGTGAACATGATTCATGGGAACAACTGATGACATATTAGACCCATGAAGAGAAGAATTATATGATGGTGATAGGTCCAGCTCTACCTTGACTTCACCAACTTCATTGGTGGTCGGCTGTTCTATGACAAAACCAGGTTCTTCTCTTTCCTTAGTGGTGACAGGGGACTTACTCATGTGACTGGAGTTCTCTTGTCTAGGACTTATAGGAGCAGAATCACTTACCAAAGGATCAGTTTCAGTAGATGCTTTATCCCTTGTACCAATTTCCTCCAAGGCTTTCCCATCTGATGTAACATCTACAGCTGGAAACATTTCAGAAAGCAAATGTTAGACTAATTTGAAAAACAAAAATGGAAATGCAGGGAGAGAGATATGTTACATTTATCTGATGAAGCTCCAACAGGTGCACGGCTGCCATCCAAGGTCACAAGCTCGGATAGGGGAGCAGAAAGAGAATTATGATAGAGAGTAATCTTAATGTCTTCTGATTCTGATTCTCCATTAGAGACATTCACAATAGGTGATGGTGAAGCCTCATCTAGTGAAATGAGCTCAGGCACGTCAGAACTGGATGACTTTTGATTTGGTTGCTGCCAATTAACTTCTTCCAGACCCTTGTCATTAACAGCATCAGTACCCAGGAACTTCACATCTTGGTGCTTGCTAACGTTGGGCTCCTTGGGGGAACTACCGTTAGGCTTTGCTGCATTCGAATCACTCGGAATACATTTTGGAGGAGTTGCTGATGTAATTTGAGCAATAGGGTCATTGACAGCTTCAATGCTTTCATGAAATACACTACTAACATCATCATCATCAGAAAATTGAAACTCAGACTCAGAATCAGAATTAAGTCTCAGCTCAGTGTATCCAATATGAGATAATGGATGAAAACTGCTTTTTCCTTCTGATCCAGAGAACTTATCCCTTGTTTTCTTCATGTTATCCCGGTGATTTACACGGCTTTGCCTTTGTACATTTGGCAAAGGAATACATGGCTTAAGAAAAGCTCTCCCAGGTGATTTTAGTTGGATAGATCTTGGGAAATTCTGTTCTGATTTCCAAAGCCTACCGCAACAAGTACATGGCCTTGAGCTCTTAGAGCCAGTAAACAAATCTCTGCTTAGCAAAGGGCTTTGGGAACCAGAACCACCAATAACCAGCCCAAATTTACCCACCAACAACCTGTGAGTTTTTGTGTTGCGTTTAGTGCTTGCGGTGAATGACAGAAGACAATCATCACACATCCTATGACCATCTGCAAGCCTACCATGGATATGACAGAATACCAAAGATGATATTTCTGATTTGTGATTGCTGCAAAATAGGTCCTGATAGAACTCTGGTTTTTCTCCACCTAGGATATGCTCAAGCCTAGAACATAACAAACAAGGCAATTGCAATTGGCAATAACTTGCAAACTTTCTGAGCAGGTATGATAGCACGGCATCAACTAGCAGCAGGCATATCAAAAACCATTCACAAGCTGCAGATGTAAGAAGGGTAGTGAACCCATGTGTCCTCTTTGTTTTGACAAATGAAGTTCCACTTCCACCTGCTGCCATCTCCACCACAATTGCTCTACAAATCCACGAGATTCATGAGAGGGAAAAATCACCAATCAAACACCAGCCACCCCAACTCAAAGCCCAAAATTGCATCCACAAGATAGATGAGTTATCTATCTATCGTAAATCCCAACGAGCTAGAGCTAGAAGGCTACAAAGGTAACACAACAACCACAATTAGATTAAAATCAAAATCAAAATCAAAATCCAAGCTAAATGCATTGCATTTAATTGATTATCCATTTTAACAATGAACAATCCCAGACATCATTCATAGACAGCCCAACCACAACAACATTAAACAAATTCAGCAACATCATAAATCCTTAACTTCTTAGACAAGGACAAAAAAATATTAAGACAGATAAATAAATATTTTTTAAATAAAGGAGAGTAAATGATGAAAACGAAATACACTCTTCCTCTTCCAACTTACCTACTAATAATTGTCGAGTAACTGTAAATATAAACGGAAAATGAATTCAAACCAACCCAACCGTGACACATTATGCCTTTGATTATTAATATTAACTAACAACTGCAAATTTAGTTACGAGAATTAAATAAAATTAAAACGATGGCCGAACGCAGAACAGAATGAATTCAATGGGCACAAATTCCAAGAGAGAAAGAGAGCGAAAATCCGAGATTGCATTCTGAATAGAATGCAAAATTCTTCAAGACATAAAAAAAGAAAAAAAGAAAGATCGGGGATAATTAAGAAAATTGCGTGATTTTCATTCGCGTATGGTATTGGAAAATGCAAAAAAATGAGGGTACCTGATCTGCAGCTTGACGAGAGAGAAAGAGAGAGGATGAGATAACTACAGAGGCAATTTCTGATCAAAGATGGTTAAGAATTTTTATTTCTTTCTTTTCTTTTCTTTTTTCGAAAATGGATTATAGTGAATTATTATTAAAAAGAAAAAAAAAAATAGGAACTATAGTGAAGATTGAAGAAAAAAAAATAAGGCGCGGAATTACAACTACGTCCCCGTCCGGTTGATCGAGTGACCGTTGAAACCAACGGCCTTTTGCTTTGTTTGCTAGCAAATGGTGGTAAAATTGTATAGTTTCTTTAAAATTAATGTTTATTAAATAAATCAGATTAATGTGTATGGATCATTGGATTGACTTTATAAAAATATTTTACAATATTATTCAATGATGTATTAATATATTATTTGAAGAGTTTCATAATTTATATGCTGTTGTATTAATTGGTAATTTTTTTTTACAGATTTAATATATTTAAATTAAGAGTTCACTTTTTCTGCAGTTACTGCTCAATATGATATCGTTTTGGGGCGAAAATTATGGTATTTTATAATTTTAATTTATTTCAGGGTTATTATAGTCTTTATAATTATAATTTTTTAATATTTTAATCTCAAAATAATATTGTTTTGAAAGTAAATGCAGATAACTTATCTGCATTAACTGCAGAAATATTTTTTGTTAAATTAATTTCTAAATAAATTAAACGATGTTTATTTGTTTATAATAACTATATATATTCGTGGCTATGCCGAGTGCCAACTGCCAACTGCCAAACGCGTTGGTATTACGAACCTTTATTTTTTATAATAATGACTATATGTTCGTGCGCAGCTTGAATCTCTATCTCTTAGAACCTCCAATAATTTGAGGCATTGTTCATTTTGAGGTCTGGGAATTATATGTTAAATTGTTTATGTTGTGTTTACCAAAACCAAACATGTTTATTTTGTTATGAATCATTTTCTACAAATTTGTCCCATTCTATAACGAGTTTTCATATATTTTAACGGGGAATATAGCTTTCTCCTTTTAATTCTCAAAAAAAAAAAAAACTATTCCTTATTGCAGACTAAATAAATCAGTTATTTACAAAAAAAAAAAAAAAATCAGTAAGATCCACAGAAAAGTGAGGAGAGAAAAAAAAATTAAGGAGGTGAGGTGACACTCACTTATTATTATATCTATAGGAGGGAATAATTTTCTCCACTAACATGAAAAAATTATTACCCTGTTTTAATATGTTGAAACAATGGAGTTTATCTTTCTCATCATTGTTTTTTTTTTTTTTTTGGAAACATCATGGAAAGAAATCATTGTTCTTTCTTTTTAAGCAAACGAAATCAGAATATTTAAATAAATAAAAAATAGTGCACGCTTGGAAAGCAAATAAATGCATGCATGAGGTGAATCATTTCTTGTGACTATCGTTCGCATAAATCTGATGATAAGACTTGACTCAACCTAACTTATAATTTTATAGTTGGTTGACGTTACAAGTGTTAGAAATGGACACACACAATGGAAATAAGAAAGAGAAAGTGTAAAGAAAAATAAGAGACATTTATTTTGATTTATTTAATATGGGTTATGTCTAGTTTGCTTGTTCATCTCATCGACACTTGTTATTAGTAGGGATGTACATGTGTCAGGTTATGCTAGGCTTTAGCTTTGATAGCATAAATCTGTGTAAAATATTTAGAGCCTATACTGACATATTAATTTATTAAAGGCTTAATTTATAGATATGGTCTAGCCTATTATAAAAAATTAAAAAATATAACATGGCCTATAAGGTCTACCAAGTTACAAACTAAAATTTATAGCCCCAAATCAAATTAAAATATAAAAGATAAATTCTTATTCACAAAGATCATATAAAATAATATTTTCATTAACAACAAATGAAATAATATTCATGAAGATCACATGAAAATGTTCACAAAGATAACATGAAAATGCTTATAAAGATCATATGAGAATTTCATAAATATCACATGAAAATTTCATATATATATATATATATATATATATATATATATATAATTCGCACTTTCTTTATTAATTTAATTTAATATTATATTTTAAAATTTAAATAAATATTTATTATTTGTTAAAATAACATCAATCATATTACTTTGAAAATTAGTGTTACCAAGTATGATATCAGAATATGAACAATACATATCATAAATATATTATAATATTAAAAAAAATTAAAAGATTAGTTTGTAGGCTTTTAGGCTAGACTTTTTAAAGTAGGCTTATATCTTAATTTTTAAATAGATTTTTTTAAAAGGCTAAACTTATTTTATTTAGAAAATATGGCAGCCAGACCAGACTGTAAGTCCTTAATAAACTGTTTGGCCTATTTATACCTCTAGTTACAAGTCACTCAATTTACAAAAGAATATAAATTAGTTTTAAAAAATTCCTAAAACAACGTAATAAAGCCAACCTGGAATATCAAATCTTAAGAAACCTTGTGCTGCTACTTCTCCCCCTAAACTCCAAGTTAATGTTGTGGTTTGATATGCAAGAAACAAAATGAGTAGAAAAACAGAGCTAATGGACTACGCAAAACCTGCAATACGAAGCTTATATTTTATTTTTTATTTTTTTCAGAATGTGTATAACAGACATGATACAATAAGTAAATATTCTGACGTAAATCAATTATGGAAGAAAAGGAGACCTGGTCCATTAGTGATGATGCATCTGGAAAAGTAAGCAAAACAGAACCCTTACTGTAGAACTCGTTTACTAAGACAGTAATCAGCATATTGTTTACCAAATAAAGACCACTGAAGACACAAAAGATGGCCAAAAAATGGTTATGACACATCGCATGACTAGCTGAAACATCCCTAACCTAACTTTAGTATATAATTATAAAAAATGATATAAAATTTACAGCATTTTTCAATTATTTTCGAACTTTCATTCTTAACGAACTAAAATTGTTATAAAAGTTTACTTACCAGCATATTTATTATCCTAATATTTTCTTATTGATAAAAAATTGATCATAAATGTTGAGAAATAACGATGCTACAAATATCAGATTAATAATAAATGGGAAAGTGCACTAGTGTAATAAAATTTAAAAATATATATGAAAGAAGGAAGATGTTATAGTTACAATTATTTTTTTTTACAACCTCTTACAATCATATATCATAACTGTTGATTTCCGTCAATCAATGATTATGATTTTCGAAAATTAAATTTATTAATTAATTATTAATTCATAATAAATGACAACCGTTAATTGATAGAAATCAACGATTATGATATATGATTGTAAGAGGTTGTAAAAAAAAGATTGTAAATATAACCTTCCTCGTGAAAGAAAATGCAACAACACCATAAACTAAAGAACAACATAAAGGTGATATGCCATAACCAATTCATGTAAAACAAGACAACAATTTTTAAGCAAATATATATAATATACAAAACAATTCTATTCTAACAATTCGTTGCCAATAAATATAATCAGTGCAACAAATTTACCAATCGAGATAGCAATTTGTAATAAACAGTGAAACAACGCAAAGCACGAAAATCGAGACAAAAGTATTACGATTACAAAATTATTCACGACAAATCAATTGTAGACTTGGCACGACAATCGAAAATTGATTTCTAATTCACGAGAATTGCCGTGGGTTGATTTCAATTGTATACAATATATATACAACATGATATATAAGAAAAGACGGAACAACTACGGTTTACACAACAACTCAGATTTAAAAAATTGTTCGCAATTGATTGGATCTTATAATTATATATACCTGGAATCTCTATTTAAAGACATATATAAGGATCAAGCCAAAACTTAATTCCCTCATGATTTAATATGATTATGGCTCTGATACCAATTGTTTAATTTTTAATTACAAGCCAAGATCCATCCTACCAAATCATAAAGAAAAATAAGAACAACATAAAGGTGGAGGGATACCTGTCTCCATTGCAGCGAAATAATTTTTATCTTGTCTCTTGGGATTTGTAGTCTTCTTCAGTCAAATCACCCTAAAACCTTATTTCTTAGTGTGTTGTCTCTCTCTTGATGGGAAAGAGAAACTAGGGTTGTTATTTGATGTCTTGGGCACCATAGCCCTTATAGTATTTTTATCTTTATTATTGGGCCAATAAGCTCCTATTATACTTAGTTGGCCCAACACCGATATTCACTCATTCAGCCCATACTCACTTAGGAATCTATTTGGAAATATTTAACTGATCACTTTAATTTACCCAATATATATAAATAGCACAATATAACTATTAATATAATATGTGACCCACAATAATTATTAGAAAATATAATTTCCTAACAGCTTAGATTTTATTTTTTATTTTTTTTAGAATGTGTATAACAGACATGATACAATAAGTAAATATTCTGACGTAAATCAACTATGGAAGAAAAGGAGACCTGGTCCATTAGTGATGATGCATCTGGAAAAAAGTAAGCAAAACAGAACCCTTACTGTAGAACTCGTTTACTAAGACAGTAATCAGCATATTGTTTACCAAATAAAGACCACTGAAGACACAAAAGATGACCAAAAAATGGTTATGACACATCGCATGACTAGCTGAAACATCCTTAACCTAATTTTATTATATAATTATAAAAAATGATATAAAATTTACAGCATTTTTCAATTATTTTCGAACTCTCATTCTTAACGAACTAAAATTGTTATTAAAGTTTACTTACCAGCATATTTATTATCATAATATTTTCTTATTGATAAAAAGTTGATCATAAATGTCGAGAAATAACGATGCTACAAATATCAAATTAATAATAAATGGAAAAGTGCACTAGTGTAATAAAATTTAAAAATATATATGAAAGAAGAGAGAGGTTATAGTTACAAACATTTTTTTTTACAACCTCTTACAACCATATATCATAACCGTTGATTTTTGCCAATCAATGATTATGATTTTTGAAAATTAAACTCATTAATTAATTATTAATTCATAATAAATGACAACCGTTGATTGGCGGAAATCAACGGTTATGATATATGATTGTAAGAGGTTGTAAAAAAAAAATTTGTACATATAACCTTCCTCATAAAAGAAAGTGCAACAACACCATAAACTAAAGAAAACATTAAAATTATAATTAAATAATAAAACAGGAAAGAAAAAGGAAGAAAGAAAAATTCAAAAAAAAAAAAGGCGAGCTGGTGGGTCGGGACAGGCTGGTTGGTTTGCAGTTGGGCGGGGCGAGCCGCTGGTTTTGCCACCTCTAATTGCAAGATGGGGTAACTCATACTAAGTGAATATTTATGAAGGTGTAAATAGCTCATACGATTTATTAAGAGTTTATTGCCCGACTTACGTTAAATCAAACTTAACCTAACATATTCAGTAAAATAAAACAAGCTCAATTCTTAAAAAAAAAATATTTAAAAAATAGGTCATAAGTGTACTTTTACAAAACTTGGCCTACAAGCCTACAAATTGTTTTATATAATATTAATTATTTAAAGGGTTCACTTTTTCTACGGTCAATGTAGATAACTTATCTACATTGAACTCAAAACGACGTCGTTTTGAGGCGGAAATCAACGTATTTTTGTAATTATAATTTATTTCAGGGTTATAATAGTCATTTTCATTATAATTTTTAATTTTTAAACCCTAAACGACGTCGTTTTGAGAGCGAATGTAGATAACTTATCTACATTCACTTTAGAAATGTTGAAGCCTTATTTAAATTAAAATAAATAAATATTCAAATAATTTTAAGAGTAAATACCTTTTTTGGTCCTTAGCAAATTTCACGATACCCGCTTTAGTCCCCAGCAAATAAAAAGACTATTTGCGGTCCCTAAGAAATTCAAAATGGACCCATTTAGTTGAAATCGTGGTCCCTCACAAATTTAAAAAAGACTTACATTAGTCCCTCAAAAGGACTAAAATTGGTCCACTTTGAATTTCTTAGGGACCACAAATAGCCTTTTTATTTGCTAAGGACTAAAGCGAATATCGTAAAATTTGCTGAAGACCGAAAATAGTATTTACTCTAATTTTAATTAATAAAATAATATATTATTTTTTAATTCTTGATGGATATTAAATGATTGATCGGCTTAAATAGGTTAATGGACTTAAGCCAAATTTTTTATTTTTTATTTTTTGGAAACAAGAGATGCTATTAGAATTAGCTATAATATAGGAGTGGATTCTCTCATGTGTGTGAATCATTGTAATAAAGAAAGATAGAGAAATAATATATAAGAATAGGTAGTTATAAAATTATTATTATTAATTCACCTTTGTATGGTTAAGATTCTCTCACATGACATAATCACATCAAATAAAGTATGAGAAGATTTGTGAAAATTTGGGCAATGCTACACTATTCTCACACCCTGGTGGGGGATTTGTGAAAATTTGCGGATCCCAATTAGAAACTGTTCTGCCTGAGTGGCAGAGATGTCTAACCGTAGGTTAGTTGATCGATTTAGGATCTAGTGCTCTCTCTAGATACCTATGAATTACGTATCTTGGGGGTGGCGCCGTCTATGGGGACCGAACACCCACGAAACCACAACACACTGTATAATAGCCTTAGCCAAAGAGGGGGTGGTGTGTGTGCTTTGTGTTTGTATAAAATAGATTAAAGAGAGATCAATCATATCTGTGATGTCATTTGTGTGTACCCCTATTTATAGAGCCTACATTGGGCTTCAAGTTGTTTGGGCCTTCTGAAAAAATGGGCCTTACCTGGTTCCATAATAGAAACATAGGCATGCGTTGATGGACAATCAACCACTCCATTGGCCTCTTTATAGGGGTGGGAGATGTGAACATCCCAATCTTTGTCAACGAGACTCCTTATGTGATGCACTTGTTTATTAAGAGTGTGTTGCTTGTGAGTTGTGACAACCTTTGAGGATTAAGTCTCTAGCTACAATAGAATCTCCCTCTAGCCAAATCCTTGTGATTCGTGGATTGTCATAACTCCACGTTTGGTTCACTGGATCCATGAAATTTATCCATCTTTCGTTGTTCCCCATGTTTCGACAATTACATGTGATTTTTTTGAAAAACACCGTTAAAGATTGCTTCTTCGAAGGTTGTATTTTGTCTGAAATCCGGAGAAGTCAAAAAGTGGTATAATTCGGTGACGAATTTACCCCTGGTGTTTGGAAGAATTGATGTCTTGATAACATCTTACTCCCCATGTTTCTGCAGTTGTTTTCTCTATATTTCTGGTCAATGGAACACAGTTTGAAAAGAAAGTCCCCAGAAAACGGTTTCAATAGCTTTTCTCTGGATGATCTTAATGAAGATTTCTTTGAAAGGGTACTTTCATGGTTACCAACTTCCACATTTTTCCGCCTTACTTCTGTGAGCAAAAGATGGAAATCAGCTGCTGCTTCTTTGAGTTTCAAGCTTGCTTGCTCACACATGCCATCAGAAGTTGGTGTCCTGTTGCAGCCTCTGGTGGCCTTATTTGCTACACACGGATGGTAGAGGATGTCCGTGAAACCACACACGGAGACAACGTGGGAGAGAGACAGAGATCACAAACAAAAACAGAGACAAAGACGATGTAGATATTGCCGTTGAGTCAATTGAATATAATTTGAATAAGCGTTAAATAAGTTGTAAAAATAAAGTGTTATTTTGTAATTTTACTAAATTTATCTATCAATATTTTATCTTCAACCAAACACATATCCAGAAATTTTAGTCAATTCTTCCTGTAAAATTTTATCCAACAAAACAATATTTTTTAAACTTTCCTATATATCTTACTTTGCTTACAGATATCTAGTAATTATATTTTTTTGTATTAAAAAAATTTCTCACCAATCAATATTGCAGGATTAAAGGTGACCGGAGAAAGATAACTGAAAATAATCCATTTACGCAATAAATCCCAAATATGAGACAATCAAATTCAAACGTGCTTATTTCTTAGGGTTCATAGAGCGGTCTTACTTAATTTCACTGAGCCAGCGTACATTGTGTTTGTGTATAGAAACTGATGAAGGATGTGTTGGGTTCCTTCAGTTTGAAGGTGAGGGATCTGATTCTGAACATTGAATTGTCTATTCGTTTATCTGAATGTTTCGGTGTTGTTGTATTGTGTTTTGTGTTGTGCTCAGAGGCTAGGAACTATTCGGAGCTACGCGAAGCATCTTCGCATCGATGGCGTCAAGGATACTATAGCCGTCGCTTCCGGTAAAGGTGGTGTGGGCAAGTCCACAACCGCTGGTAAATAAAACCCTTAACTTCATTGTCATTCTTTCTCTTCTATGCTCTGATTTTTATTTTTCTTCAAGTTTTGATTATTTTTGTTGGTGATGAATGAGTTGAGTGCTGTTTCAATTGATTTTTTTGGCAGTTAATTTAGCTGTTGCACTTGCTACTAAGTGCCAATTGAAGGTTGGTTTGCTTGACGCTGATGTATATGGACCGAACATTCCCACCATGATGAACATCAACACAAAGCCTGAAGTCACTCAAGGTATATGTTTCTTTCTTTCCATCAACCTTTTCCAGCGAAACATCCATCTTGAGTGACATTGTTAACATGTAGCTATCCTATTATGTTAAAAGGGAAGAAAGCATCAATATCAAACAAAGTTTGCTTTCCATATTCAAGCAATGGTGATAATGTTAAAGCCATATGAAGTGTGTTTAAATTTTTGCTTCTAGATGTATGATTTGATTTAAATGTAAAACCGTTCTGAATGCTACTCATTTAACTTCCAGGCTTTCTGAATTTGATAAACATATCTATATGTAGTGTTTTTTAATTTTCATAAGTGTAAATGCATAGAGAAATGTGACCAAATTGCAAGTGGTACTCAAGAAGGTTGCTTGCAATTATTAACTTTATTGATTGTTCGATTGGATGGAATCGAATAGAATAATAAGAATGTATGAACTCTTTCTCTCTTTCTTTATTCAGTTTTTCTTTTTAAATTTTTTCTTCTTTGTTTGAAGTTGTTACTTATGCATTAATTATACATTAAGCTTAGATTTATGGCTAATTTGTTTCCAGCTTCCATTACAGTTCATGCCAATATATTTCTGTTCACTTATTTTCAGATAAGAAAATGATTCCTATCGAAAATTATGGGATCAAGTGTATGTCAATAGGGTTCCTTGTGGGGAAGGATGCCCCAATTGTCTGGAGAGGTCCCATGGTATGCCTACAACTGCTTTCTTCTTGGTTCTTCTCCTTTACCTTTCTTTTACTATTTCTTGTTTTAACTTCTGCAACTTAATTGTTCATTGGGATATACTGTAAAGGATTTCTTATTGAAAAAAAGTTCTTGCAAAACTGCCACTTTTGCTGTTTTATATTTGAATTCCTATTACTGGATTATATCATAGGTATCAAATGCTCTTGAGAAAATGACAAGGGGAGTTGACTGGGGTAACCTTGACATTCTAGTGATGGATATGCCTCCTGGCACTGGTGATGTCCAGATAGCTATGTCTCAGAATCTGCAATTATCAGGTAGTTAACAATTTAGGAATTAGGAAGACAGTTCTGGTCAGAGGCCCTTTGGGGGATCATCTGTGGCTGATGTCTAAATTTAAAGTTTTACGAAGCTTGGACCTTCACCTTTGTCTGGCCTTTTGCACTTTAGTCTTTGTGGTTCTCATCTGCCTGATATTGCAATAAACCTTACATAAAGAAGATTGTGGTTAGATCTGTTTATCATGCCTGTTAATTCAGAATTGAAACATTTTCAGTGGATTATTAATTGAATTATAAGCATTAAAACACACGGTTTTTTAGTTTAATTAAATCAATCGCTGATAAAATTGAACAAAAGTATCCTGATATTTTGATACTTCATACTATTATGAATTGTCCTTCAAATTGACCTTTTTTATCTAGTTTCCTTACACAATTTTTCTTTGGTTATTCATTGTCATGGCTTCTTGTATGATAGGTGCGCTGATTGTTTCAACTCCTCAAGATGTTGCATTAATGGATGCCAGGAGGGGAGTAAATATGTTCCATAAAGTTGATGTTCCGGTATGATAATCACTTGATATACTTGTTCTTTTACATGTTAATGGGTTTTCATGAGTCTGCATATACATGTATTTGCACTTCTGTCTGATGTTATGCCTTCAGCATGTACAGTGTGCATATACTAAGATACACCCACTATGGGTTTCGTTCAACTTGTCAGTAGTGTGACAATTATCAAATTGTTCAGTTGGAGAATTGCCTCATAGAGATTCATCTCAGTTGTTTTTGTTTAAGGAAAAATATTTACGTTGTCGTGCTAAACTAATGCATTATGCCATTATTTGCATGGTTTTTGAGCTATCTAGTGGCACCCTAGCACTCCTTCCTCATTAGGTTGTCTGAAATTCCTAATTCTGCTGAATCAGTAGATTGCATTTGCTTGGAATCAGTATTGGGCGTCAAAGTAAGTGCCTTGCTATTAGAAATCCTAATGGCTTATTATTTCAGTAAATTATATGATGCTAGTTCGAATAAAGATGTGAAGCATATCCTGTATCAAATGTCTGGTGGAAGCATATTCATTTGTGCTTATATGGTCTGTTTTCAGGCATGTGTTTTTAATTTATTTCACAGTATTTATGTATCCACTATCCAATTAGGGTGCTTAGAATGAAATCTGTGATGCCTACCATTGATATCAACAATTCCTTATGATATGGTGTTCATATTTAATCTATAAGCTATGAATGCATCGTACCTTTGATGTCCATTCATATGAGTACTCCGACTGTTCTTACAGATTTTGGGAATTGTAGAGAACATGAGCTGCTTCAAGTGTCCGCACTGTGGTGAACCTTCATACATATTTGGTAAAGGAGGGACTCATAGGACAGCCGCTGAAATGGGATTAGAATTTTTAGGCGAGGTATGTTGATTATCTGTGTGTAGACTGTACTTTTTAAATTAAAATTTTGCGGATCTTTTAATGCGGACTTTATTGAAGGAAGCAATAGGATCCAGACTAGTTAGTTTCTTGGGATAGACATTTTTATAATTTTTATGTGACTAATCACTTTTTACTTTTCCTTTGATATTGTTGTAAAAGCTCTCTTTGACAATGAGCAATGAGTGTTTAACTATATCAGATCCTAATCTGTAAAAGCAAGTTCATCAAAAAAATAAAATGGTGGAAAAGAGGGGTTTAACGTTATAATTTATTGCATTTGCTCATCTATCTCTTCAAAGGATGTACTGATTTCTCTATGTTTAACTAAAATTTTCCACCCCAATTAAATGAGAAAAAAAACATTGAAGTTGCAATACCATGCACATTAAATTTTACGAGGTTGAGGTGTAAAAAGTCAAAAATTATCTTTTTCTTGTAAATGCAATATAAGCAAATACCCATCTCCACTCTCTCCTCTTATAGGGCTGATGATGTTTACAAATAAGTAATTGAACATAATCTTTGGATTGTGCAGTGCTATATTCTGTACGGCAGACTCAGTAGACTGTTCATATATATATATATATATATATATATATATATATATATATAATATATATATATATTGATTGATTGTTTGATTATAAGTATTGAAAAGGGGACAGTTCTCATAAATTATTGTGTAATATTCTTGTCTGGAATTATTGATAGACAAAGCCACCTCTTTTCTCAGTCTTCTTAAGTGACATCTGCAAAATTTATATATTAGGTATTTCTGATAAATTTTCAATTCAATGATTCCAGATACCACTGGAAGTGGAAATTAGGGAAGCGTGTGATCAAGGGCACCCCATAGTGTTGGCTGCACCTGATTCGTTAGTTTCCAGAGCATATAACGCTGTGGCTGAAAAAGTTGCTCAGAAACTCAAGGAACAACCACTCCAACCTGAGATTATACTATGAATGCTGTCCTTCAATATGTGAGCAAGTTATCCAGTACATACATTTATCCAAGAAAGGGGGACCGAGCTGCCTGCCGGGATGCTCTGTAACCAAGACCTGCAGCATTTGATTACGCTTAAAATTTGTTAAAATTATGGTATGAGACACAGGACTGGTTTATGATTTAAAATTGTAGATTCGAGCATCTTCATCAATTTTGTAAAATAAGCAGTCAATGATTCTCTGACGTCACATAGGTGCTGTCAAATTAGCAGTATGATTTCTATGCAACACTGACGCTACACGGGATTGTTGCTACAGGATTCTCTTGCTATGCCATTCCCTAGTTATATGCTCTCTCTCTCTCTCTCTTTTTGTTAGTGGTTGATTTGGATGCATTGTGGCAGCGTTATCTGCAACATCTTTGTCAAAGAGAATGCACTGAGAATCTGCAATTCTTGATCTAGGCTATATGATAGTTTTAAAGCTCAAATAAGTGGTCGTCGCTGGAATTTTCTCCTTTAGCCTCATTCTGGACTTGGCCCATTACTGTAGTATGCAATTTGACTAATTATTTAACACATTAGTAAAATATTTGGGAATGTTTAGATAGATTTGACTTAACCTATTTTCAATTTATTTATTTATTTTGTATGTTTAGCAAATTGTTTAGTATATAAAATCTTTATTTGTAAGTGTTTTGGTATACTATTTTCAAACAAGAAAATCAACCTAATGTTATGAAATGAAAGGGGAGAGGACAAAAGAAGAGGTAGAATTCTTATTCTCATTCAATCCATACTTTTCCAATACAAGCATCATGTATATATAGGGAATTGGGAATTGATGCTCCGTTAGTTTAGTGGTTACGGAAACATAAATGTATATATAGGGAATAGGGAATTGATGCTTCGTTAGTTTAGTGGTTACTGAAACATAAAAGAGGGATAATTGTATCATTAGTGCCAACGGTCACATAATTTAACTCATCTATAAATTTGTATTTTACATTACTCCTCTTGGATGACCCATTATGAATATGTCTCATTAAAACTTTGTTAAGAAAAATCCAATGGGATAAAAACTTTAGCGAATGAAAAAGAATATGATGTTCATAGTTAACATACCATCAACTATATGTTAATATAGACTGCCTCATTAAAAGATATTTTCAAAGAAAAGATAGTACAATGTGTATTGCTCCCCCTCAATTAAGCTGTAAAGTTATTCCTGGAGCTACGGAAGTGGATCAACATTTACAATTTTACATAATAGCTATCTTATAATCTTCTATAATAAATTGTAGTAATGTTAATTTAATGGGATCAATAGCGTCCATTTACAATGCTTCTCATTGAACATCATTGCGTTAAGTTCATGCCTCATTAAAACCTTGTCATTTACAATGCTTCTCATTGAACATCATTGCGCTAAGATCATGCCTCATTAAAACCTTGCTAGAAAACCCAATGAAAAAACCAGCAAAGGAAAAAGAGTACATGACATGCGTAACCAAAACATTACGCAATCTGCCTCATTAAAAATCTTTGCCAAGAAAAATCCATTGGGAAAAAATTAGCAAAGGAAAAAAGAGTACAAAAATAAACCTTTAAGGCTCCACCCTTTAGGGATAGTCATAATTAATTCGCTCCCATTGATAAAAGTAATCTATTAAATTTATGCATACCTATTCCATATACCAATTTCTCAATTTTTAGAAGTAGATGAGGGATTTAGCGAATAAATCTGTAAGATTGTCATTCTTATCATACCCATATTCATTTGTGTAATGCAAGTTGTATTGTCCTCAAAGAGGACGATGGGGTATTATCAATTATGGATAAATCACATGAAACATTAATGTGTTGTTTTAAAAACATTATCGAGAAGTTTCGTATAATGCAATAGTCTTAGAGTGATTTAAGGAAGTAGCAACTATGTTTTGCCTTTATAGCCTTCCATTACATTGTAGTGTTTCCACAAAGAGATACATATCTAATATGTGATTATATAGTCAGCATCAAAATATCCCACCAGTGTAAAACCTCCATCTCATGGATAGATCCTTGAAGATAACAAAAAATATGATTAATGTCATTCCAATGTCTTAAGGAGGCAACACTATGTCTAGCTAGAACTTTTATTGCAAATGCAATATGAGGTCTATTGCAATTTATAGAGTATAATAGTGTTCCTACGGCGCTTAAGATTAGGAGCTTCAGGTCCTAATCCTTTCTCGTTAGATTTTTTTTATCTAAATGGATCTGTATTCACTTCTAGTGAATGAACCATCATTGGGGCACTTATATGGTAATATTGTTGAAATAAAAAAAACCAATTTTGGAAGATGCTCGATCTGCAGGCCGAGACAATAATATGTTTGAGACCACCATTCAATGATCGTTGTAGTTTGATGTTAAACATGCTGCGAATTTCATTCTTTCCATATAAGTTATGGAGAATCTTTCAAGGATTTTCATATAAATATCATCGTTAAGTGACCCTACAGTCACAATGTCCATTAAATGCATTTCAAGATGCATCTTAGTTGCTATATTTATCAAGTGACGAAACGTAATAGAATTCATTGTGGGAGAATAAACATCATAATTGATATAGGGTCTCTGCGAAAACCCTTGTTATTTCTTAATTGCATTCTTCCATTCATTCCAATCTGAATGTTTCTGGCATTCTTGAATGATTTTTGGGTTCTGGATCCAAATTATCTCTTGAGACAACAAGAGCTACTGAGAAGACAATAATGTCGCCTACGACATATGATATTATCCTATTTTCTCCCTTATTAATATAGTTTTATTGCATACTTTTATGTCAAAATCAAGCAAATCTTCGTCGTTTCCCAAGACATTTAAATTTGGTCATTTTGTATTCTCATGATTATTGCAATTAGCAGCTGCATTTATTTCACCGAGTTTGCTTTCTTCAGGATTAACCTCTTCAGAAGGCGCGATAAGTGACTTATTTTAATTTTTTGTGGAATTATATCTTTAGTCCCTGCAGGTTATTCGTGCTTCTGGCATTGACTAGACTCAAAGTAATTTTATCTCATTAAATTCTCCACTACAGGTGACTCATTCTTTTTAGTCACTCATTTGTGACCAGTAAATCTATATGACATTTGTCTTGATAAAGTTTGCAAATTAATGATATTTTAAACTTCAAGTTCGATTATATTTGTACGTGGACCAAAATAATTCATTTGGTATTTTTATTCCAAATAATTTCTCAGGATTCATTGATCTTTTGACTTTCTCCCCTTAATCCCAGGAAATGTCCCTCATTGGCATAAGGACATATATATTACAAAAAAAAAAGTGTATATGAGAAATATCATATTCACATCAATGTACAAGTTCAAAAGGGGAGTATACTTAAAAGCATATGAGTTAGTGAATTTTAGGTTCATAATCATTTGAGCATATAATTGGATGAGTAATTCATCTAAATAAATAATCAGCTCTTCTAGAGTTATTGCAAATATTGTTGCAGAAATGCCTACGACCATATTCATGATTATGTAATTATATTGCATTCACTTCAAGGAATGACACAAATTAGTCAAAATTCTGCAGGATCGAATGATCTTTTTACCATAAATATTTGGTTATAAGATCATCATCGAAATGATGAAGAAATATTATTTCACCAACATTCTCTTGCTCGATTAGCTTATCTCATTCCTTGGTTGCTTCTCAAGGTAACATAATACAAGCTCTTCTGGAGCCTTCAATCAAGTTAGTAGAACCTATCTTAGTCCTAATACAAGCTTTTATGGAGCCTTCAATCATGTCTAAAATTATAGTTTGAAACATTCGCTTCAGGGAATATGCTTTACCCATTTGGCCAAACTTTATAAGCCCAATTCCTTGATATGATTACTTCTAGAGCATATTCAAGAGGTATAAGATATAAAGAATATTTTCTCTGAATATTCTATTTCAAATTATTCATCAGATCAGTTAGATCTTTTGAATCATGGTTTGGAGTTATAGTTCTTCATGAAATTTATCATATATATTTATAAAAATGATGGCCAAGAAAAGTCATTGACTTTGTGCAATCCTTCTGCAATACATAAAATATAACTTTTCCAGGAAATTAACTAAATTAACAAACTTAATATAAGACAAAATATATCAATGATATTTGTCAATAAAATTCCTATGAATGAAATATAAATAAAATATTTATTCTAGAAAAAAATGAAGAAAAATCATAAAAACAATAAAGCAATGAATTAAATCAATATAAAATAAAATAGTAAGAAACATTAATCAAAATATGCATTTGCTATTTCAGGAGTAATAACTAATAAAATGACTTTAGACTTATTTTCATTGGCGTGAGATATATCATTCTTACCTTTATTTTAACTAGCCATATTCATTTCATTAGCCACTTTTGTTTGGCTTCTTTCTTTTTCGTGATTTGACCCAATGTTGAATTTTCTATCATCACTTTAAGGGTTATATCATTACTTGTGCTTATAACCCTCAAAATAGTTAGTCTTTCATATTTTTGGCATATGCTTTAAGCAATGCTTATGTCTAAAATCGAAAATTATTTTCACTAACTTCTAGGATGTGAAAATATGATTTTTTTTTCTAAACATTTAACATAACATAATAAAAAAATTTAAATTAATTATGAGGATTACTAAAACACTCATCGCTACCTAAAGATGAAAGTGGGCCGCGCCGGCCTACGACCTAGCCTATATCAGGCTAGACTCGGCCTTTACATACAGTCAAATAGAACAGGCTCAGGCTCTTAAACAAGCCTATTTAGAAAGCAGGTCATAGGCTTTTTTTACATGTTGGGCCTATAAACCTACATGCTGACTTATATTATATTATTTATTTTAAATAACATAAAATATTATTATTCATAGTAGTACCAAATGGTGATAGCTCAGTTGGTGTATGTGAGTTGGGTAGGTGGTGGAAGGACCTAGGTTTAATCCCCACCAATACCACTTTAAGAGGGCATAAGATCTGTATCAATCTCTACAATAACATCAGAATCAACATTTAGTCTGGAGGAAGAGTTATTGATGCTTGTCATTCTAGTTTGGCTGAAGATACCATCCAAACTTTAATATGTGGAGGAGATTGGCTATGTAATAAGTATGGATTGAAGAAAAAATAAAAGGCGTAAATTTAATCAAATAAAATTATTTTATAATTTAATTATATTTTAATAGAAATCTGACTTCATTTCTTATGTAAGAGGAACCAACATCTCAGCATGTAAGATTGCCTATACGAATGTATTAAAAGGTTTTTTGTTTCTTAATCTTTTTTTAATTCTTTAATATTGTTTTTGTTTTCTACATTTACAAATTTTTTGCCAACTTATGTAACCTTGGAATTGTATTTGCAAGGGAGAGAAGATGATGAGAAGTTTTTGACTACTACAAGTATCATGATGTGTTGGATTCGTATAGTTATTTTAATTTACACAGTATAGATTGGTTTGTTGGATCTGATGAAATATATATTATTTAGTTTGAGCATTTTGCTTTTGAAAGTAACATAAATGCATATTGTGATGAGTTGTTATTGTGATTCATGATTCTGTTTAGATGTTGAAATTGTGATTTTTGTTTTAACAATAGATTTTAAGTATTTTGTGAAGTTGATTTATGGTTCTGCTTGGAAGTTAAAAATTAACAAGTTAGCGGGCCAAACCAGGCCATTTGTTTTTTTTTTATAAATGGGTCAAGTCATGCTAACAGTTAGACTCGTACTATGCTACCGAGCTAGGCCAATTGAAATATTTTGACTTAGACTTGGGCTTTTCGGGACAAAACTCGGCCCAACCCAACCCACTTTCACCCAAGTTCAGGAGCATGAGTATATAGAAGGTCAAATATTATATAAGATTATATTTTTTTTACACACTCACTACTACTGCATGAGTAGGAGGATATACGTTGTCAAATGCTTAATATCATTTCATCACTGCTACTTTAGGGGCAGAATGATATAATTTATCAAATATTCAATTAGGATATTTTTAAGGGTTCATATTTTCTTATGTTGTAGGATTGCATGAGATAAAAAAAGTAGAGACAAATTAAATGTGGGTCTCACATTTTATATTATAAAAGAAAAAAAAATTAATTAGCACGGAAAATGAATCTGTGTAGGAAAAAATTTTGCTCTCCTATAGCAGGAGAGCATGATTTCCGTATTTTTAAACACTCACTAATGCTTCAGAAATATGAGGATATAAAAAGAATTTAAATAATCTAAAATAATATATTCTAATTAATACTTTATATTTTAAAAAATGATAGGTAATACAAACCGATACTACACCATCTCTAGCAGTCATGATTATGAAACATACCCGAATTTATATTATTATTAGACAAATTAGGAAATACTAATTATAAAGAAATAACTGATAATCAAGACAAATTAGTAGAAATATTACAAAAACTTTTTTTTTTTTTGGAGGTAAAATATTACAAAAACTTTAGTCATATGCTGGTTTGATAATTTTCGGATCTGTTCCTTCAAGTGCTACTAGTTTATTTATTTATTTTTTTGTACACATTTATTTATGTTTTTTGAATAGAGTGCTACTAGTTTATTGTATCCCATAGTCATATGCTGATTGGGTTAGTTTTGGCTCACAAATATGTACACAAACCCAAACACTAAAGCCCAAGCTTATCGGTCTTTTTCTGTTCAAATTATTTCTCCTTTTCTTTTTAATTATTTTTTGTATTTTTTGGTCATTGCAAATCTCGTTTATGATATGATATCATGAATCAAGAGGGGAAACTATCCTAATTACTATAATTATCAAAATAATAATCAAGAAGATCTTGTCTGTCGTATCTTCATTCCGTCATTGCTTACGTTTTTTTATTTTTTATTTTATAAACATACGTTTTTTTATTCCTTATGTCATGCTTAACTCATACAAAAATAAATTAAAAAGAAAAGGATAAATAATTTGGATAGAAAAAACACGAAAGAAAATCATAAAAATAAGGTTAAAATACAAGTTACCCGAACTTTGACCATGTTTCAATTAATCTCATATACTTTATAATTGTTTCAATTAATCTCATGTACTTTATAATTGTTTCAAATCAACAATTCTGTTAAAATTTTTACAAACTCTGTTAAACTCACATGCCCTAAGCCCCAAATATCAAAAAAAAATTCTCTTTTTTTTTTCTACGTTCTGTCATCTCTTATTACAATAGTTTGGGATGATTTCGATTTGGATAGGAGAAGATTAATGTGTCTCTTTTCTTCTATGTTCTCCCAAGGCTTCTCTTACAAAATATTAACATCTTCTACGAAGTAGAAACAATGATCGCTGGAAACTTTGTGAATAAATAATCAAGAGCTAAAGAAAAGAGAGAAGAAAAGATCATCCCAAATCGTAGAAGAATAGATCATCGCTGGAAACTTTGTGAATAAATAATAATAAGATCATCTCATCCCAAACTTTGTGAAGATTCTTTTATGTTAATCTTCTCTGATCCAAATCGAAATCATCACAAACTACTGATAAAAGATCCAAAGAAATTTGTAATAAGAGATGGGAGAACGGAGAAGAAAAGAAAAAGAAAATTTTGAGATTTGGGGCTTAGGGCATGTGAGGAGGTTTAACAAAGTTTGTAAAAATTTTAATAGAATTGTTGATTTGAAACAATTATATAGTACAGGGATTAATTGAAATAATTAAAAGTACAAGGGGATAATTTAAAAAATGAACAAAGTTCAAGGAATAACTTATACTTTAGCCTAAAAATAATGAAGCACTGAATTAAATTAATATAAAATAAAATAGAGTAAAGTCTCATATGCTCTTTAACAAAAAAATACGATTTTCATTTTTGTAACTTACAAAAACAGTCAACTTTTAGTCCCTTATAAATATTTTTTGTTAAACATCTAAAAGAAACTTTATTTAATAAAATAATAAGAAATATTAATCAAAATATGCATTTGCTACTTTAGGAGCAATAACTAATAAAATGAATTTAAGTTTATTTTCAATGGCATGAGATACACCATTCTTGCCTTTATTTTAATTAATCATATTTATTTCATTAATCACTTTTTGTTTGCCTTTTTTTTTTCTTTTCATGATTTGACGCATTGTTAGAATTTCAATCATCCCTTCACAGGAGGTTATATCATTACTTCTGTTCATAACCTTCAAAATGGATAAAGTCTTTCACAAATTTAATATTTGCTTCGGACAATATTTTTTATCCAACATGACTAAAATCATAATTATATTCACTCACCTCTAACGGTAAAAATATGGTTTTTTTTTTTTTTTTTAACATTTGACATAATAAAAGTACTTAAATTAATAATAAAAATTACCAAAACACTCGAAGACAATCGAGTAAAGTACATTCCTATCTTAATAGGGTTTAAGTCTTCTAAATAAAATTTTATGAGAAGAAATGTTTTGCATTCACAATTATACAATTATTATTTTTTCCTCTTAGAGAGATTCCATTATAAGTACATTAATTAATTTATTCCTCTTCCTCTTGTTCAATCTTGACTGCGCTACGCTGCACTTTCTTTCTCTCGTCTTCTCTTCTGAGCTGAGCTGAAAAAATTCGCTGAATGCCTCTCCCATCCAAAGCCCTAAAATCCCCAATTCCCTTATACGCCAATGGACATTCCTTCAAGTCCCATCCAAAACCCGGGTTTATTCATTTCTATCTCAATCGCCGCCTCGCCAACCCCAACCTCAACCCTTCCAACGTTATCGCATGCAAAGGCCTCGAAATCGCCGTTCCTAAACCCGTGTCTCCGTCGACGGGTTCCAAGTTGACTAGCGTGGGAGCGAAACACGTGGACGTTGCAACACTCGGTAATCTCTGCGTCGACATCGTACTCAATGTCCCACAGTTACCCCCTTCCTCGCTCCACCAACGTAAGGCTCTCATGGAACGCTTGGCTTCCTCTCCACCTGATAAGGTTCCTCATCTCTCTCTCTCTCTCTCTCTCTCGCGTTGGTGCATTTGTTTTGATTTTGAATCAATTATAAGGCGAGAAGTGACATGATAATTGGGTTGTGTGCTTTTGGAAGTGAATTGAATGTTATAACAAAAACCTATGTTTGGTGTGGCGTGACATGAATTATAATTCTACCTCTTATGATCATTGAAATTTAATAATAAGCCAATTCTTGGGGACAGTGCACTTTGGAGTGGGAGAATAAATCTTTGGTGTTACTTTGCATCTAGATTTAGTACGCATTACACATCAGGGGAGAGAGAGAGAATTTGGCAGAAAAAAAAAAGAATTTTGACTGATATGTAATGCTCCAATCGATGGAATGTACTAAATCTTTAGTGCAATAGTAGTACCAAAGATTCGTGGGACCCACAACATTCTCCTAGAACTAGATAAGCTTCGTGAAAGCTGTAATAATTAAGCTGTTGACATTAGCTGGTTTTCATTTCTGGTATAACTGCTGATTGTTGTCATAGTCCACTTACATATAGTTGCAAGCTTGTTATCTTAATTTGAATATTCACGTTTTAGTCCTGAACACTTAAATATTAGTAATTTGTTTTATAAACGAAGTTATAAGTTATTATTTTTATTTTGCTTTTTTTGTACTTTTCCTATCATGCTTTTTTGCTGCAAATGATTTTATTGTCTTGGATTCTATGGTTTTTGGTGTAGAAATATTGGGAAGCTGGTGGGAACTGCAATATGGCTATAGCAGCTGCAAGGCTAGGACTTACTTGCGTATCAATTGGTCACGTGGGTAATGAAATATATGGGAAGTTTCTGTCAGATGTGCTTCATGATGAGGGCATTGGTATGGTTGGGATGAGTACTAGTGATGATATTGTCAACAGCCCTAGTGCCTCTCATGAAACGCTCCTATGCTGGGTTCTTGTTGATCCCTTACAAAAACATGGTTTTTGCAGGTAAAAATCTTGTCTTCTAACTTGTATTGTTTTGTCACTGTCACGGAGTAATTATTTGTTATCATATTTTTGTTTACAAACAACTAACTGAACATATTTTGTCTTTTAGTCGAATGGATTTTAGCAAGGAGCCTGCATTTCATTGGATGAGTAAAGTGTCCAGAGAAGTAAAAATAGCTATTAAAAATTCAAAGGTCATGTTCTGTAATGGATATGGCTTTGATGAGCTCCCTCCTGGTGTACTTCTCTCATCACTGCAATATGCTATTGAAGTTGGCACATCAATCTTCTTTGATCCTGGACCGCGTGGAAAGAGTCTCTCCACTGGGACCCCAGAAGAACAAAGAGCTCTTAACCAGTTTTTGAGAATGAGTGACGTTCTTCTTCTAACTTCAGATGAGGTCTCACTTATAGCCCTCCTCATTTTGCTTCTATCCTTGATATTATTATGACAATACAAATATACAATTGCTTATCATTCTCTGCATTAAGCTTGTGCTTTCTGATATGGTGGAGTATAATTACTCTTCTTTGCTTTATAAACTATGAAATTTCTTCTTCTATCTCTCTTTTTAGCTATATATTGCTGTTTGCACTTTGCATTTCACATTTAGATGCATGGCAAGGACATCTCTCAGTTTCTTGTTCTGATATTAAGGACTTTATATACATATTTTGTGTTTATGAGAACCGTCTTAATCTTACGCAATAATTCCATCATTCCTCTTAAGTATGGACAATTGGGCATGTTTTGTTTGTTTGTCCAAGTTCTTATGCATGTTGTATATATATTTCTACTTGCATATTTATGAACTCCTTCACAATGTCAAAGTTAGTATGTTTGTCCAATGAAACTGTATCAGTCTGGAACCTTTATATGAGTTATGTAGTTTTGCAAATTTCAATTTACTTTCCTTGGAGCTTTTGACATTGTTAACGAAAATCATGTGAAACATTTGGAAGTATGGAAAAAATGATAATATTTAAACTGAAAGTTTACCTGAAAATTCATTTACTTGTGTTAGGAAACAGTCTAAGTCTGATGACCTTGCTTATTATCAGAACACTGACCAAAATGCCACTCTTCACCAACTTTTTTATCTAAATGCCACGCGAATAGTGTTATTTTCCAATCTGCCACGGGGGCAAGTTCGCTACTCAGTGTAGCGAACTCGGTTTGCTGACGTGTCACATTTCTAGTGGATAACAAGTATCAAGTTAAAAAAAAAGGTGTGAAGTTCGCTACATTGTGTAGCGAACTTCCACTAGAAACGTGACATGTCAGCAAACCGAGTTCGCTACACCGGGTAGCGAACTTGCCCCCGTGGCAGATTGGGAAATAACACTGTTCGCGTGGCATTTAGGTAAAAAAGTTGGTGAACAGTGACATTTTGGTCACTTTTCCCTTATTATCTGTCTCTCTCAGGTTTTTATTCAAAATATGGTAGGATGTTGGGATCAAATTAGGCCTAGTTCATAAGCAGATTGTCAAAATGCAACCTCGTATGGCTGATCACACACCTTTCCCTGATGCCCACACTCACCTCCAATCCTCTGCTGCTATTCCCTTTTGCCCCACTGTACACCTTAGTTATGGGAGGGTGCCTATCACATTTTTTATGGTAGTTCTATTTCACTTGTGGTTGCATTTCAAAAGTTAGTCTGGATGTAAAATTTCAGACTGCAACTTCTTTTTTCTGATTTGTCAATTATTTACATGTTATTAACTTTTCCCATTGGTGTACCAAATTTTTTCTACATTGTTTGATGGGTGAATTAATGCATTAGTCTTGGTTTGTAGAAAAATAGTCCTATCTATTGGTTCAGGTTGAGAAAAGTAAAAACATGCAGCCCTAACTACCCATTATATGCTTTGCATCCCTGTCCCAACTCTCACCATCAAAGCTCTCCTTAGTAAAATTGGTACCTTGTTCTCTCAGTTTTGGTGGAATTTGTTTTTCTCCTCCACTTCGTTTTTATTAAAAGCTGAATCTAATCCTTGTCACTAATTGGACTTTTATCTGTCTCTTCTCTGCTTTCTTTGAAATCTGCGCTGCCTCCAGTATCTTCCTCTACCATAGAACTTGCAAGGCAGACAGCCAGTTACTAGATTTTACCATTCAGGGGGTGACTAAGAGTTTTAACTTTTAAGCATGGATGGAAGCTTCATATTTTGGTCCCAGTCCATCCATTTATGTTTCCAAATTACTCCAGGTCCACCATTTCAAGGTCTCTTTGTATTTTATTAAACTTTTAACTGATGGCAGCCTGATCCAAATGATTTGTTTCCATCTTTATTAATGAGACATACCAAATTTGAAAATTCTGCAGCAGTTTTTACGTTGGTTGTAAATCCTGCTTAAGCAAAAGACTAACGGAGTTTGTATTTTCGGTATGATTTGGGCCTCTTAATCTCATAAGTTATGTATAGAAGATAGTGGTCTTCTCTTATTCCTATAAAACAATCATGTAATGCAAATTTAAATTGCTTCTGTTTCTGCTATTAATAGGTAGTTTTTCAAACTACTTTTTGATTTGATGACATCTTTGATGCTATTGTTTTACATGACAGGCTGAGTCGTTAACTGGCATAGGAGATCCAATATTAGCTGGGCAGGAGTTGCTTAAAAGAGGGATCCGCACAAAATGGGTGATTGTAAAAATGGGTTCTAGGGGTTCAATTCTAATAACTGCATCAAGTATAGCTTGTGCACCTGCATTCAAGGTATCTTATTCTAAATTTTCTCTTAATTGCTTCCATCAAATTCTTGCAAATTTGGGACATAATGATTTATTCTATTTATATACTGCCATTCTGCTTAACTGTGCTATGGCCTACTTTGGAATTCAGAGTTTCATATGTGTTCTTGTCTTAAAGGTCAAAATTTTCGGTTGAGGGAAAATTAATGAAAGTTTTGACAACTAAGGCTATACCCACATTTTATGAAGGGTAAATTTCGGTTCACAAAGCTCCCCGACTTTGTGATGGTTGATTGTACGCAGCCTTGCCTTTGCATTTTTGCGAAGAGGTTGTTTTCCAAACTCAAACCCCTGACCTTTCGGTTACAAAGGAGCTACCTTACCACATTTTATAAAGGACCATATTTCAAAACCTTGTGAGTATTGCATGTAGTTTCTTCAACTGGAAGATCCTTTTTCTTAAATGAGTCAAACATGCATTTCCAATATCCTAATATCAAAGGAATAATCAAGCTCAAAAGTCTGATATTCTCTAATATTGGCTTGATACTTTTTTTGTGACGGTCCAAATTTTTATGCTCCAATCTCTAGCAATAATATTTATTAAATTTATGTCCGACAATCTTTTTTTTGTTTACAACCCTTAAACTTTTTGTGATAACTCTTAGTATAAACTAATTGGATTTCTAAAATGTTATCAGGTGGATGTTATTGACACTGTTGGGTGTGGAGACAGTTTTGTAGCTGCCATTGCTTATGGTTTTATACATAATATGCCAATGGTTAATACATTAGCAATTGCAAATGCAGTGGGTGCTGCAACAGCCATGGGCTGTGGTGCTGGTAGGAATGTAGCAACTCTGGAAAAGGTAGTAGATATATTAAGATCATCAAACCTCAGCGAAGATGGTGAATTTTGGACTGACATACTTGAAAAGAATGTGGTAGCTCAGGAAATAATATGTCTGTCAAATGTTGTGATGAACGGAAACAGAAACTATCTCAACCTTGTCCCATTTGACAAGGTTGCCTCTGACCTCTTGGCCAATCTTGAATTTCCACAAACAGTGGAGAATGTGCCAACTTCATAGATTGTCGACTATAGATTGCTGCCACTGTTATATCCATTCATGTGAGCTAACTCTTCTCCTGATTCTGTTGGAGTTCTTCGCTCCTTCATCCTGTTAAAGTCTAAACTACACATTAAGACAGCAGAGTTCTATCTCCAGACAGGATTACACTGCGAAAGGTAATGAAAAGGCATTGCTTTGAGCAAGTACATGAAGTAGCTGCTCATCAAGCATTTTAACTGATTTCTTTCATTTCAGTCTCAACATTATTTCTTTGATTTCAAAGGTATTTTTACTCCCCGAACCAGTGAGGCGGAGCTTTTATCCTCTGGTAGATTCCAATATATTTGCTTCATTTTTGCATGAATGCTTCTCAAGCAGTGATATGTAAGTATCTCCATATTGTGATAGTTGATTGATGGCGTAGAGGGTAGGGCGGTCTGTATGAATTTCAATATTTTGAATATGGATTACAAACACTAGTTTGTGAGGCTCTGAAATAGTTGGTTTATATTTTTTCCTTTTTATTTTTAAATTTGTTGGTTAGACTTGGATTCAGAGATGTGAATGATAGTATATTTGGGCTTATGCTTTTCTAATAAAAGTAAATTGATATTTTTAAATTTTCTGTGAAAATATGAGGGAAAGCCTTGGAGTAGTGGTTAAGTTATTCCTTATGATAATGGAAATGTCGTATATTAGGTAGTGTTGTGCATTAAAATTAAAAATAAACCCATCGCCACCTTAAACTTTTCTATTAGTTTTTATCATAATTTGTTAAAGCTCTATATTTAATTGAATGAAGACACTACAAATATAATCAAATGAAATTAGGTTTTTATAAATTGCTTCTACATCATCACAAAGTTTAAATGAAATAATGGTAACTTAAGCGTTGTTTTTTTTTTTTTGGTTTAAAAGCATGTTTTTGTTCATATTGGTTTATCCAATTGTGGTGCTACTTGTGAGTCTCTTTGATCCAATGGATGTTTAGGACAGTTCCCTATGGTGCTTTGTAGGGCGGAGCCCGGGTGCTAGGATGGGCCGTTGTCTCCTCTAAAATATGAAGAAAAAAAATTCTTAATGGTGGGCATTCAATGATGTATTAGAGGCTTCTAAAGTACTCTGGTTTATTTCGGCATACCTTCTTCTGTGTACTAACTCAATGATAGGATCACCAAATTTACTTCTGCAATAAAGTCCTAACCCAATTTACTTTGACATATCTTCTTTTTGTGTATTTGATTTTTTGTCCCCACATGAAATTTTTTTGGCTCCGCCATTGGTGCTTTTGGTAGGCAAGAGATAATGGTTTAGCCGTAAGACTCAAATAATGTTGTTTATATGTCTGTTTGATGGTGATCCAATGGTTGTTGAGGACGGCTCTTCCATGGTGTTTCAATGGACGTGAGACTTGTTCACATGTAGAACTATAACGAAGTCAAGGTGGTGTGTATAAATATCAAGATACGTACAAGAGTGTTCGGCCTCTATTTGTGGGAGAAATGAAGGAGACCGTTTTTGCCAAGGATGTGGAGATGATCATGGCAAAAATGGTTGAGAACATTCCAAAGATAATCATGGTGGAGATCGTGAAGAAGTTTATGAAAATGATAGTGGAAAGGATCTTGGGAATAATCACATAAGATTAGTGGAATGGAAATACTTTTTGTGTGAGACCTTAGTCCATAACTATTTCCATCTTTGATTACTTGAGTTTGAATTTTAAACCACTATTTAAGTAAATTATTATTTCTAAATTTACTAAAACAATGGAGGAGGTACATTCTTATATTCTTCCGGTAAAGAATTTAATCTCGATTGGGAGCTCATTTTTAGTACAACAGGCGTATATATATCTGCCATTCAAAATTAAATATGTGTATTTTAAATAATATTTCTCTCTCTTGCTTGTAAGCATTAGTATTTTGTGTTTGGTTTTGATTGGATAGATATATAGAAAGTTGGATGTTACGGTAGTATTCTAGAAATTTTCTTTGATCGGAATGAAAGTGAATATGTACCTACAATACCAAAAAAATATATATATTAAGTTTTAAATGACATTATTTTATTTATTTCCAATACTTGAACATAAGGATTGATGTCCTCAACAAATAGATATGATTTATATATTTATATTTTATTTTTCTTCATTTCTATTTACTTTTCATACGATCTTTTAGAGATATCTTTAATTTTTTTTCTCCACCACATTTTAAAAAATAATAATAATTCCACTTTCCTTCTTAAATGTAAGTACTAATTAAGTATCTTATCTTTTTAAATTTCGTTATCAAAATTACGATTAGGTTGTACAAAACAATCAATTGGCACAATGGACTATTTATTTGGTTCACAATCTATAGCCAACATAAGATCAGCAAAATCAATTGGCACATTATAGACTGTTTACTTGGTTCACAATTCCTCTGCAAAAATATGGTTCAATATAATTGTCTTTTTATCTAAATCTCAAAATCTATAGAGATAATCATGCGTCCGTTATCAAATGAGGTCAATGAAGACTAGAAAAACAAAAGAAACAAACTGAGGAGAGTGGAGACCTTACCCAACACATTTTTTCACGCACTTACGATAGTCACTGGCAATGGATCAAGGGCGATATAAAGGTGGATTATTGGGCTACATCTAGTTTTATCTCTTCCTTTCTATTGATTTATCATGTTTTATATAATCACCAAATAATTATTAATTATATTTTTTAAATTCTTTTTTTTTTTTAACTTTATCTTAAAAGTAACTTTTAACTTAAAAAAAAAATGTCAAACTAACTCTAACTAATGGATGAAAAATCTTGAGTATTTCATAGATTGGATTCCCATAATAAAATCTGTTAATTAATTAATACTTGCTTAGTTTTTTGCTTATTTACTCCACTTTAATTTCCAATTTAACGATGAGTCTAAATATCTATAATATCAAAACGTATTTATCAAATCCGATTATTGTAAACAAATAAACAATACTTAATTCAACATTATATATATTACTTGTAATGACCTGTACACATCTAAAAAAATTAGATAGGAGGATAGCATAATTATCAGTATCATACGATATACGATGCGTATCATATGATATGATATGCTTCTCAAGCTCAGCGATACATATTGAGGAGGTGTACCGGAAATGAGTTGTATCGTACGATACGATACGTATCGTGTATCATCAACATCAAGAACATCTTTATCCCAAATAATTGGAGTGTATCATGTATCATATAATACAAAATTAAATCGAAAATTTTAATTTTTAAAATTAAAAAATAAAATTTGATTTGTGACTTTAATTAAAAAAATCTAATTTTTTTATTATTTATAAGAAAAGAAAAAGATTAATTTTTTGATTTAAACTCAATACTCAATCAAAAAAATCTGTATTAATAAAGGAAATAATTAAATAAATATTTTAAATTTATTCAATTTTCAGAATACAAAAATAAATCAATAAAAAAACTAATCCAAATTAAATCAACGAAGGTTGCATATCAAAATATTTTTACTGACTTCACTTTAGCCTTACGGAGTCGAAAAGTTTTCAACAAGAAAGATTTTTTTTTTTTTTGAAGTCATTCAGAGGCTATAAGTTTTCAGAAATTCAGCCAAAACTATTTAGTGTCTTTTTGAAATTTAGATTTACATGATATTAATTGTATTATATATTTTCATATTATTTTTTATTATATTTCTATATCTTACAACTTAATAGAATATACGATACAAAAAAAATCAATCAAATAATACATGATATATATTGCGATTTAACAACCAAATATATTTGCTAACAATATATGATAGTGCCATGGTTTGTAGTAACTACATTCTTTTGTATGATAAATCAGGGTCAAATTATAATTTGATAAAATTTATTTTTTACAAATACTTAGTTAAAAATAAAATCAAAATGTTAATATTATGCTAAATTAAAATAAAATAAAAACTATGTATCAAAATAATAACAATATAAAAAACTCAAACCCGGTTGACTTAACAATTAAGTTATAACATTTTAACTCATTAAATTATTATCCTACCTGGTCTGCCCCAAATACAAACAATGGCATTGTGTTATATATTGAGGTAAAGTGGAACTAAGAGGAAGGGTAAAAGGGGAATTTCAGAAGATAGGATGACATAAATACCCCAAAATAGTGTTAACCTAACCCTAACAGGTTCTCTCTGTTGATACAAACTTCACAGTGAAGCGACTCTTTTGCCCTTCTCAATTCCCATTCTTCCCTTCCATTGCCCTTCTGATTTCAGGTTTTCCCCTCTCATCCCTCCACCCGCCAAACCTATATACTTCGAAATTTTCTCTTTTTCTTTTCTTTTCATGTTTTTGGTTCTTTGAACTGTGACTAATGGGTTCTCTGTTAATGTCTTGCATTGCAGGTTTCACCAGCCACTCCTGTTTCTCAATACAACACCTTCTATCTTGTGAGTTTTCCACCTTCCTCTGTTTTTCTCTTTCTTTGTCTCATTAGGAATTTTTTTTTTCTTTTTTCTTTATTTTTTATCTTTCTTCTGGTGAAACTGAATTATAGATTCATAAGTGATTCTGAATTTATGGGGTTGGGCTTACCTGGAAGTAATTGTTGTGATTAGAGAAAAGGAACCATAAAGGACTCAACTTTGTGAAAATTAGACCCGGTTCCGTGACAGGAAACGAAAGGGGTTGTAAACGAAAAGACAGAGCTTTTATTGTTATTTAGAATTAATTGCTCGTGTTTGATTGACATTGACGGCGAAGTTCAGTTGGTTCAGTTGCAAATTGTGAATATTCTGTTTTTTTCCTGACACAATTTGAGAAATTCACTGTTGTTGCAGCTTTTTCAAGAATTTTATTTGGCTCGTGTTGTTGCTGTTCTTGTAACTGTTGTTGTCTCATTTTGGGGACTGTGGACTTCAAGAGAAACTGGGGGAGTTACCAATATTTTGGGGAATTCTGTTTTTGCACTGATCTTTAGTTTGAGACAGAAGCATCTTTGCTCAAGTCAAAGTGGTGAGTTTGTTATGGCGAACCATGGTTTGATTCTTGGACAAAGTCATGATCAGTCATCCATACCGGTTTCTCATTTTGGATTTGACCGTATCCATGATCATGATTCAGTTCATAAGTTTGGCTCTGAACGGATACAGGATTTGGATTCAGGATGCACACAAGATAATCAAGGATTGATTCAGAATCAGAGTCAGAGGCATGAGCATGACATGGCTTCTCAACTTCAACAACTAGAGCATGCTCAGAATCTTGAGCAAAATGGTGGTAAGTTGGATGCAGACGATCAGGTTCAGGATCATGCTTATTCTGGCAACTATGATAATAGATTGGCTCTAACCAATCAGGCATTTGAGTTGAATTTGTCAGATGATCGCCAACTAGCTATTATGGAGGATCATGATTTTCATGAGAAGTTAGAGTTTTCCTTGGATCAAAATGAGGAAATGTGTGATCTGCATGTCTCAGATATGACTTCTGAGCAACCAATGGATTTGGTTTGCATTCCTCCTATCCTTCAGTCCCGAACCCTTCATCCCTCTCCTAACCATCAACTTACCGTGGGGCAACAGTTTCCTGATGTTCATAGCTGCCGTAGGGCACTTAGGGAGGCAGCCATTGCTCTTCGCTTTGAGATGCAGACAGTCAAGTCAGACAAGGTTCGTTTCACTGCACAATGTGCAAGTGAAGGATGCTCTTGGAGAATTCATTGTGCAAAGCTTCCTGGTGTTCCTACCTTCGCAATTAGGACCATCCGTGAGCCACATACTTGTGCTGGAATAACTCATCTAGGTCATCAGCAAGCCTCAGTGCAATGGGTTGCTAATACTGTGGAACAACACCTGAGAGAAAATCCTAATTGCAAACCAAAGGAGATACTAGAAGAGATCCACCGAGTTCATGGGATCACCTTATCATATAAACAGGCATGGAGGGGAAAGGAACGGATTATGGCTACTGTTAGGGGTTCATTTGAAGAAGATTATCGCTTACTTCCACAGTATTGTGACCAACTCAAAAGGTCAAATCCTGGAAGTATTGCATTGGTTTATGGAAATCCTATTGATGGCTGTTTCAAACGTCTATTCATATCATTTCAAGCATCAATTTATGGCTTTTTGAATGCCTGTCGTCCCCTCATTGGACTTGATTCTGTCCCCCTTGAAAGCAAGTATCTTGGAACTTTGCTTTTAGCCGTAGCTTTTGATGGAGATGGTGGTCTATATCCTCTAGCATTTGGGGTGGTAGACGAAGTAACTGATGATAACTGGATGTGGTTCCTATCTCAGTTGCATAGCCTGCTTGAAACTAATGCTGAGCACATGCCAAGACTATCAATTTTGTCCAATAGACAGAAAGCCATCGTGGATGGAGTTGAAATGAATTTCCCTACTGCTTTCCATGGGTTCTGCATGCATTACTTGAGTGAAAGTTTCCAGAAAGAATTCAACAACACTGTTCTCAGTGACATTCTCTGGGAGGCTGCATGTTCCCTCACTGTCATAGATTTTGAAACCAAAATCCTCGAGATAGAAGAGATATCACAGGAAGCAGCAGCATGGATTCGAAGAATACCTCCTAACTTGTGGGCTACCCCATATTTTGAAGGAACTAGGCTTGGCCAATTAACAGCTAACATAGCTGAATCTTTGAATACTTGGATAGTTCAAGCCTCTGGACTTCCAATTATTCAAATGATGGAGTGTATCAGGCGGCAATTGATGACACTATTCAATGAACGCCGTGAAGCCAGCATGCAGTGGTCAAGCATCTTGGTTCCTTTTGCTGAGAAACAAGTGTCAGAGGCAATAGAAAAGGCACAGAGTTACCAAGTGTTAAGAGGAAATGAAGCTGAGTTTGAAGTTTTATGCCACTCAGGATCAGCAAGATATTCAGTGGACATTCGCACACGTTGTTGTACATGTCATGGATGGCAACTTTGTGGTCTACCATGTTCTCATGCAGTGGCAGTTCTCCTCTCATGCAGACAGAATGTGCATAGGTTTACTGAAAGTTGCTTCACTGTGGCACACTATCGTAAAGCATATTCACAAACCATACATCCTATTCCAGATAAAGCCTTGTGGGATATGTCAGGTGGGCTAGAAGACGAGGTTGTTATAAATCCACCAAAGTCTCTGAAGCCACCAGCAAGACAAAGGAAAAGACGAGCTAATGCTGGACAAGATAGTGGTGGTGGTCAAGTGAAACGAGTTGTGCATTGCAGCCGCTGCAACCAACCAGGCCATTTTAGAACTACTTGTTCTGTCCCTATGTAAAGTACCATGTAATTAAGCATAGGATACAAAGTCTTATACTCTCGTTCAAAGGTCGAGTTTTTGCTAGTTGGGTTTTTTTTTTCCTTCTTTTTTTAAGACTAGATTAAAGATGAAACAGAAACACATTCTCAAATACCTTTCATACAATCTTCTGTTTTTTTTTTTTTTTTTTGGGAAGAAACCAATGATTTTAATATAGGCAACTTTTTTTATTGAATTTTTTGGGCATTAGTATTTGCATATTTTGTATCTTTAAATTTTTTTTTTTTTTTTTATCTTGATGGCCATTGGGAATGGGGAGGGATCAGGAAATAAATTTAATCAACTTAATGTGGACTGGAGACTCCCTAATTAGACAACTTGCTCTTTCACCATTATAAGAGTAACAGCATAATGTCTTCAAAATCCTTCAAATGCAGCTGTTTTATCCTAAGTCGCTGGATTGCTTTCTGGATTTTTCTCGATTCAAACCCATGACGTAGCTTTATAAAATTAGGTAAGTGTTCATAAAGCAAATAAATATTTTTAAAGTAGCGTACCAAATATTAGGGGTGTGAAAAAAAAACTGGTTCACTTGCCCTGCCCTTGATCCGACCTTGACCAGACCCATAAATACCCATAGTTTTTGAACTGGTTTAAATACTGACCCACTTTTATCTGGGTCAGTTTTAGACCTGACTCGTTTTAATATTGATCCACTGACCCAAAACTTGACTCATACCCATTATGTGTGAAAAAAAAATCACAATTACATTAAAAGAAAAGTTTTAACGTAAAACAATTACGTCAAAATTTTTTATGGAAAATATTTTCAAAAAAAATTTCGCAAAAATTTATAACGAAAAATATTTTCATCAAAATTTGTGACTAAAAACATATTGGTAAAAAAATTTGACGGAATATTTTTTTTGTCAAATTTTTTTACGGAATCTAAATTTCGTCAAAATATTTCACAAAAAAATATATTCATAAAAACTTTCGACGAAACATATTTTCATCGAAATTCTTTGACGGAAAAAAATTTCATCAAAATTCCTTACAGATTTCAAATTTCGGCGAAAGTTTTCGACGGAAACATTTTCGTTAAACTTTTTGACAAAAAAAAATTTCGTCAAAATTTTTAGCGAAACACATTTCTATCAAAAAATTTCGACTAAATATTTTCGTCAAATTTTTTGATAAAGAATATATCCATCAAAATTTTCAACGGAACACATTTCTGTAAAAAATATTCTTATAATTTTTTGACAAAAATATTTCGATAAGAAATTTTGACAGAAAAAATATTTTGTCTAAATTCTTTAGAGAATCTAAATTTCGTCGAAAGTTTCAAATGAAACATTTTCCTCAAAACAATTTCCATTAAAAAATTTTGACAGCAAAAAATTTCATTAAAATTCTTTACAGATTTCAAATTTCGGCAAAGTTTTCGACGAAAATATTTTGACGGCAAAAAATTTCGACGGCAAAAAGTTTCATCAAAATTCTTTACAGATTTCAAATTTTGGCGAAAGTTTTCGACGGAAATATTTTCGTTATTAAAATATTTTGACGGCAAAAAATATCGACGACAAAAAATTTGATCAAAATTCTTTACAGATTTCAAATTTCGGCGAAAGTTTTTGACGGAAATATTTTCGTCATCAAAAAATTTTGACGGCAAAAAATATCGACGGCAAAAAATTTCATCAAAATTCTTTACAGATTTCAAATTTCGGCGAAACTTTTTGACGGAAATATTTTCGGCATCAAAAAATTTTGACGGTAAAAAATTTCATCAAAATTCTTTACAGATTTCAAATTTTCGCGAAAGTTTTCGACAGAAACATTTTCGTCATCAAAAAATTTTGACGGCAAAAAATTTCGACGGCGAAAAATTAATCAAAATTCTTTACAGATTTCAAATTTCGGCGAAAGTTTTCACGAAAAAATTTCCGTTAATTTTTTTGACAAAAAAAAATTTTCATCGTAATTTTTAGCGAAACACATTTCCATAAAAAATTAACAACAAAATATTTTCGTCAAGTTTTTTGATAAAAAATTTCCATCAAAATTTTCAACGAAACACATTTCTATAAAAAAATTCCGTAAATTTTTTTGACAAAAAACATTTTGACGAAGAAAATATTCTGTCAAAATTCTTTAGAGAATCTAAATTTCGTCGAAAGTTTCAAATGAAATATTTTGCTCGAAATAATTTCCGTCAAAATTTTCGTCAGAACACATTCCTATCGAAATTTTGAACGAAAAACATTCCGTCAAATTTTTTGACAAAATTCTTTTTTCGTTTAAAACATTTGATGGAAGAAATCATTTTCGTCAAAACTGTTGACGGAAACTAAATTTCAATAGAAAATTTTTTTTTGTAAATATTTAGATGAAAAAATAATTTTGTGACGAAATTTTCGTCTTTTGCAACGTAGAAATTTTGACAAAATTTTGTGAGAAAACCAAGTCAAAAACGGATCAGGTCAGATTTGACCCAGTTCAGAAACCAAGTCAGACTCACTTCAGAAACCAAGTCAGGTCAGATCCAAACTGATTCTGAACTAGTTCAACAAAATCCAATTCAAGTCAGACCTGACTTGTATCAAATTAAAGCGAGTCAGGTCAAAATACATGACCTATAAAAACCAAATTGGGTCGAGTCAGACAAAAACCTGACCCGACCTGACCCATGCATAGGCCTACCAAAAATCATTTTTGAAGAGGATAAACTGATATATTTGCGCACTTATTGATAATACTTCAAAAAATACTTCCGAAAAATGCAATAGCTTTGAGAAAATCACGCGCACATGCAAAATAATAATAATAAGGGACCCAAAATTTTACGGGTTGCGTTCTCACAAATTCATATTTTGTTATTAAAATATTTCTATATTTATTATATTACTATTATTATTATTTTACGTCTATGGTTCATCGATTATGTAATTAATCGTTTTCTCCATCTCACCGAGAGCGGGGAACTTTATTATAATGGTTTTTGGTATTATTATTATTGTTAATTAACTTTGCTTCTCTGTAAACGTACACGCACTTTAAAAGCTAATCATAAAGTTTAAAACACAATCACTTAAATAACAATTTATAATTTTGTACGAATCCTTAATTTCCAAATCACCTTCAGTTCCACTCAAGCACACTTTAGAGAATATATCCATTTACGAAAAACATGAAAGAAAGTAACAGGGCAACGATACAGAATATTCAAAAACAGAAACCTACTCAAATATCATATCCTCTGAATGCTATGCAGTCATTATACCAAATGTGATACAACGAAAATATAAGGGATATAAATGCCCACAAGTACTAGAATAGAACGCAACGTTTATAAAGCATAAGGCTCCTCAACAAAAATTGAATTTAATCTTCTCAATAGCCATAGTTGGTGCCATATACGGGACCATAATCTGCAGAAGGCATATGCCCTGTATGACCACCTGCGCTTGATGGCGGAGATGCATAAACAGGAGCATTAGAAGGATATGAATTGTAGCCTTGGTTAATTGATCCCCCCATATGATCCTGCGCCGCACTTGCAGCTTCAGCCATGAAATTCTGCATCAGATAGATTGTGGGCAATTCAGATCAATATCAACATAACACTTTTATCCCAACTTGGGGTTTGCGAATTGTGGGCAATTCAGATAAAAATACTAAACCCAAAAAGTATAATACCAAAAACATCAACTGAGGTGAGACTACAAAACTTGCCCCAACCCAACAATGTTTCCAGTATGAATTCTACGCTCATTGACAACATCAAAAAAGAAAAAAAAAAGTAGCATGAATTCACATGACAGTGATCATTACAGCCTGTCCTATCCTCTGCAATATTTATAATGTTCATTTAGCCTAGCTTCATCAATTGTCATTCAAAACTCACGACAAAAATACAAATAAACAAATACTTGGGCGTCAACTGAATTCGCACTCCATATTTGATTCTATTATTTATTTATATTTACTTGTACATAAAAAGAATGGATTGCATAAAAACTTTTACTTTACCAAAAAACACATTTATAATTGAAATTAATATACACAAATGATTTACAAACTACTGTAAGAATAAAATCATCCAAAGATAAGCATTACCTAATATATATGAAGCCATGAACATATACAAGAATAAACAAATAATACAGACATAACATTAACCCGTACCACTACCAATCAAAAAAGAATTCAGTCAGTCTCTTTATTAAACAATAACAATAATACAATACAGGTAACAAGTAGATAAGAAGAATCCAAGAACCCTTTAAATTCAAATACCTGCACCAGCTGTTGGGCTGCCTGTATTTGTGAAGCAGTACCACTTATCTCAACAGTCATCTCCCCTGGCACGCCCCTGGTCTCCTGAATTGTAATACTTGCTCCACTAGCACGACGAATGTAGCTGATATTCGTTCCTGATGCCCCAATAACAGCATCTGCATAGGATAGAGGAATTTGCATGTGCTGCGTGACCTGCACAGTAGAAAAGAATTACATCGAGATAAAACAAAAATACTTCAAAACCAATGTTGATCTCTGCAGTTCTCAAGTTAGGCAAAAGAAGACACCTTAGTCACAACAGACTGTTGCGACTGTGTACTGGCTGAATGAATTCCTATAGAAGCATCTCTTACATAGGCAGGTGGTGGACCCTGATGAAGGTGCTTGTCCATGGGAGGCAGGTCAGCAGGCGGATAGTAACTATCATAGTTATGTGAAGGCGGCATATATTGAGGATTGGGTGGAAAAGCATGTCCACCACCACTACCAGGAGCCGGAAACCCTTGAGGAGGAGGAGGACCCCAAGGTTGGTGTGGTGGCACATTCTGGTTAACTCGCACATCTGGCCTTTGCATCTGAAGTTTGGGAGGAGGAAGAAGAAAAAAAATAAATATCCATAGAAAGAATTGCAGCAAAGATGGTCCATATGACTTCAACATAAATAAATAAAAAAAAGCTTCGCTTCAATCCAAAGCATATGAAAACAAAATAAGCCAAGACACTTGAAGGAAACTTTGAAACCACTTCTCAAATACAAAACAACAAAAACAATGAATGATGAAAGTCAGACATATATACAACATGCAAATCACAAATATCCTAGAATGCTTTCATCCCCACCCTATCACTAACATATCCCAATCAATCATTCCCAAATACAGCCAAAGCTTGAAAACACCAATTCATAAATAGCCTAGAATGTTCAAATAAGCTAAATGACTCATTCACAACACGATAAATCTCATTAGATAACTCATCAGCATACATTCTTAATCGGATCATTGATGCCTTTTAGCTTTGAAAAACAATGAAAAATAAAAAGAACGTACCTTTGTTTCAAATACTCCAACTATGCTGCGGTCAACCAGGAACTTACGTAGATGAATTGCAATTAGTTCAACGGCCTTGTGAACCCCGGCAGATTCCCCTTGTATTTCAACAACACTATCATCTTGCAGAGCAAAAACCGGCAGGTGGTCTGTTGTATATGACACATTATTCAGGTAGAGTAATCACAAACTTGGATATCATAAATAATATTTCTTTTATATTCACTAAAATACAAGTACATTGCTTGACAAAGAATGCATGACCAACTTTCCAAATACTTAATAAGAATACATCATCAACATCAACATTAACACCACCTTTATCCAAATACATAATAAGAAAAACAATATAAAAATTAGTACATCTGAGAGGGGTAGATCTAGTCATACTGATAACATCCACAATAGCAAACACACAATGCAAGTTGGGAAAATATGCCAAAGACATCACAAAACAAAAGACCTCTGGAGAAAATATATTGAAAAGGAAAATGTTTTGGTAGCCAAACATTAGCAACATTTCCTAATTTAATTCACAATGCCTGTTAGCACACCTGATCCAAGAACGCGTATATTGCAACCAGTGTTGTCTTGAAAGGATTTTATAGTGGACCCCTGCTTCCCAATCAAGCTTCCTGCTTGAGTATCTGCCACTAGAAGCCTTGTAACAACTGGGCGTCCAGCACCTGATGCGCTCTCTGCAGGATCTCGGTCCACATTGACAACTTGTTTATGAACCCTTAACAAACCATCCACAGCAGGTGGTATGGGGCGATCTGGCTCTTCTTTTGCAGAAACCATTACCTTTTAGAAGCATAACAGACAGATAATTCAGAAACACCACATAAAAAATAGAGGGCTCTTAGAAAACACCAAAAACAGATAAATTTCAAAGTCTAAAGAAAGCTAATTAAATATATTTGACTCATTAACTGATTCACCCCAATGCTCCAAAAACATACTTGTTCATCATTATTGCATCACTGGCATTAATATATAAAATTATTTTAACTTTTTAACTTCATCTCCATTTCCTTGAACCAGTACATCTATGGTTCTGCGAATTAGCAATTATTTTAACAATGTCAAGCTCCTTAGAATATAAATAGTTTAAATTAGTAATTTAATAATGGTAGATGTCCCCGAAGTAATTAAATGGATCAAGATATATTTCAGATTTATTAATTTTACTGACATAGTCTCCTGAATTCAACAGTTTTTGCTTGCTTAGTAATATGTGGATCAAATTTCAGAAGTTTTTATTTTTGTTTCATTATTTTAGTGACTTTAAGAGAGTTTTCTAGGAATCTGTTTCAGGGAGTGTGGCAAGACACCAATCGACCAAGTTCTGAAGTTACCATGTTCAGTGAACGCTTCTTGCCACCAAATTCCGCAGAAACTATTTCTGATTCTTAAGACAAAAACAACGTTTCAGCAGTTGTCTATGCTCATTGCTGTTTCCCTGCAACTTGAACTTTGGCTCTTCAGTTTGAAGTACTTTGGTCATTCATATTTGCTGACAACCTGCACACATCCATTTGTTATCGTGACAAAAGACATATCTTTTATATATACTTAACCTGTTTGATTATTCATCATTTCTTGTGTTCAGCTGGGTTATGTATATTTTTATAGTTTCAATTCCTCGATTAATTTTTTTTTTGTAATATAATTCCTCAGCAACAGTATTCATGTGTTATCATGTTTTATCATGAATAAACCATTAAGTTTCAAATTCAAATTAATGATGTAAGAAGTTTCTTTCATCAAGTAGAAGTTTCCCATATCGAAGCACTAAATAGTAACCAAAAGATATAGCACTAGGAGTTATTAATAAGCAGGATGGGAGTTAATTTTCATGAAGTGATGTTCCCTATGTTTATATTTTCTTGAATCTGATTCATAATTATCTGAGCAAGGAATCCACAGACATGAAATTTCAGCACTAACATTGACAATCAAGTTTTACCATTGTTTATCAGTTTATTGAACAGGTAACAGGACTACAAACATATTCAATAAATTTTTTTGATGAAATGAACAAAAAGGATAAAAGCCTAACTGCAAGGAAGATGGAGGATACCAAGCACAACTTAAATCTGAAAAAAGATAACACGTTCTAATAAGCACAAAGATCAATATATGAAATATGTATAACATGCTTCAAACATATCCAAGATTATCCGTCACTCTTAACCAGAAATTGAAAAGTAAACTCACTGCTCTTTCTGCAGTTCCAGGTGGACCATCAAGAATTTTAATTCGAGCCTTGGTCTCTTCAGTAATTTTCTTAATAAACTCCCCTTTGCGGCCAATAATACTGCCAACCTTTTGCACAGGAACTAACATCCTAAAAACGTTCTCTCCAGGCCACCCCGGCCACCTCTGAGTTTCACTTCCTTTCGAATCTTCCTCAAATCCTTGTTTTTCAGGAGAGCCAAGATTCTCAGTCACCTCAACTCCATCATGATGTTCCTCAGCATGCTCTTGCAGAGGAGAATCAGGGTTTCCAGGCAAACCCTCTTCAACATCATGACCATCCAATTCATTTTCAGCAGGATTGGCATCCTCAGCCAAATTGCCCACGTCATGTTCATCAGGCTGCAGCTGAGGAAACCCAGAGTCATCCATCACATTTCCTTCTTCATGTTCTTCAGAATGGTTTTCTGGAAATTCGGGGTTCTCAGGCACATAGCCAGCATCTTGTCCATCAAACTCTTCCCCAGACATCCCAGTGGCTAGACGAAACAAAAACTCATCAGTATCATTCTCAACAGAAACTAAAAAAAAAAAAAAAAAAAAAAAAAAAAAAAAAAAATACAAACACCCTTAAAAATTAAATATCATAACAATCCCTAAAATTAAATATCCCAAAACTGCCAGTGCCTTGAACATCTTGAACCACACAACTGCTGTGAGGCAACAAATACCCCATTCAAAAAGATAAAAAAAAAGAAAATCAAGATTCAACACTCATCCAAAACAAAACCTATGTAACAGAACGAAGCAAAGAAAAAAATAACTCAGTCACCAAATTACTGTCGCCGCTTCCACCGAACAAAAGCAAAGCATAGGTTCAGATGGAAAATAGATGTGAAGAAAGTGAATGCAACTCTTAAGAAAACTGAGAAGGCCAACACTCACACTTGAAATAAATAATAAACAAATAGGAGAATGTTGAAACCCTAATGCGAATAGAGAAGAGTGTTAGGGTTATTGAGAGATGAGGGTGGTGGTTTCAAAGTTTAAACGAACTTACTGTGGTTCTCGAAGCTTCGGAGGAGAACGGAGAGAAAACGCCGACGCTTGGAGAGAGAGAAAGACAGAGAGGGTTGTGCTTTGCTGTGCACAATTTAGGTTTATCTGAACGATGAGAGAGACAGACACCAGTGGATTATATTTTTATTTGCCGTCCACTCCTTTAACTTACTCATATTCATATCTTTGGCGGTTTTTTCTAATTTTTGTTTAGGAATAGTTATTAAAGTTACAATTTACTTTGGTTTATAACTTCTTATAATCATATTTTAACTATTAATTTTTAACAATTAACGGTTATTATGTTCGTAAATCAATCTTATTACTTCATAATATATGATAATCGATAAAATCAATGGTTAAAATATGATTGTAGGAGATTATAAACAAAAATATGTGATAAATATAACCTTCCTCTGGTTATTATACCTACATTTTTCATGTCTACCTTAACAATCGCTCTCCAACACCATTATATCAAAATCTTAAAAGGAGAGAGAGAAATAATAAATATTAGTTTAGGCATAAAAAAATAAGTAAAATAACATATCTTTTTTTATTGTTATTACTATTATTTTTATTAATTGTAAGTAAAATAAGTAAAATAACATATTTTTTTTATTGTTATTACTATTATTTTTATTAATTGTAACTTGCATATAAATTATGGGTTTATTGTTTCTAATTTAATAGAAGATAAAATTATTTCTTAAACTCCTACACTCATATAAAAGTGTGTGAGATCTTTTTTTCTCTCTTTTTTCTTTGCACGGGCCTCACACATTTTTATACATGTATGAAATAATTTTATCACTTACAATATGACAAACACTAAACCCATAAATTATAGGAATATGTTTTTCTTATGTTGCACGAGACAAATTGTCTCATGCAACACACAAAAAGTGGGTAGGATCCATTTTTTTCTTTTCTCCCTCTTCTTCTTAGTGGATCCCACTCACTTTTTTGTGTGTTGCATGAGACAATTAGTCCATGCAACATGAGAAAAATATTTTCCTAAATTATAAAAAGAAAAATGTTTGTCATTTTAAAGGACATAGAATTATGTCATTTTAATTGAGAGAAAGACACAAACTAATATTTTTATTTAAAATTTAAATTTAAAAAAACCATCCACTTTCTTTCGTCGTGATTTTCATTATTTGTATCTTTTTCTCACTTAAAATGACATAATTATATATCCTCTAAAAAAATAAATATTTAACCCAATTACAAATAGGGAAATAGATATAGAAATTGTAGGACTCTCACTTTTTTTGCTTTTTAAAAATAAATGTGGGTTCCACAATATCTATATCGATAACATAACTTAACAACTTTACTACTAAATCATACTTTTTTTTCCCAAATAAATTATTAATGCATTGCATTGTTTAGTTTGGACTTTATATAGTTTGGACTTTATATGTGGATTTTTGGAGGTTACAAGGAATTGAACACAACACCCTACACTACACACACTTCTAACACACACACCCCACACCAGTAGGCTAACCCTAGTGGTGCATTTATATGCGGATTTTTCATCTGGATTATAATTTAGAATTCGAAATATTTTAATTGAGAAATGTATTTTAGTAAGGAAAATATATTTAACTGAATAGTTGAAATAATTGAAACATCATGTATACTTTTTATTTAATAACATTTTTTGATATTTGACTAGTTATGAGATTAATCTTGTAAACATTGTCAATATCTCTCTTTAATCATTTTTTTTGAGATATAAAATTTGATTATTTTTATGAGAATACAAGTTACTTATCATTACATGTAATCTTTGTAGGTTGCATATTTAATATTTACTTAACGTTTTACTTGTTAAAATATTTATACTTTACAGTACTTAAACATACTCAAAATTTCAAAATAAACTCTTATGTCATCAATTATATTACAGTCAATTTGAAGTTGTCCAACATAGACTTAATATTAGATGAAGGACAAAACCCCCCAAAGCTACACTGACCGAATGTTGACATCTAATACAGCTTCAAATTCACTGGTAGTTGTGGATTTAATAATGAAGAATAATTAAAAGTAGAAAAATAAAGTCACTTTTGGTGAAAAATGAGTTAAAATGACAGTTAAGGGATAAAAATGCAGGTAAATAAAATTACCCGAAAGTAAAAAGTAAAATTATAAATATTACCATAAAAATATTCTAGACTAGTGTGCAAAGTTTGGTAGTGAATAGAGGTGTGTAGATAGATAAGATTTTACCCAACTAAACTAACTTAAATACTTAAGTTTTGAAACAGCAACCTCATTTCCTTTTTATTTCTTCTGACGCGCACGCCTCGTTCTTCTTCTTCTTCTTTGTGCGTCGACAGTAGCCATAGATGGAGAGCTCAAATTCAACTTCTCCATTTCTTCATGAAATCAAATGAGATCAAAGTTGCTTAGAATTGGGAGACAGACACAACCCTTAATCCATAATCTATCAAAAAGCCTTGTATTGAGAGAAAAATGGAAGGGAAAGTGACGCCCCTTTGTTGATTGAAGGTCCAAGAAGGCGTTATCATCTCATTTGAGGTTGGAAATCCACTCATTGGGTGATTCTAGGTAAGTCTATGTTAAGAAATCCTAGTTTTCTTTGAGTTTTGAGAAAGATTGATTTAGGTTTTCATTTTTAAAATTTGGCTTGATTGAGCATGTTAGAGCTTGATTGAGGCTTAGCTCATGTTGAGAAAAGTGTTCAGATGAAGATTTTAACGATAAAAATGTATTTGGAAAATTTGAGATACTGTATTTTTGAATAGTGACGTATATGAATAGTACCGTATACGTGAATCGTGACGTATACATGAATAGTACTGTAGAGATGAACAGTACCGTATGTATGAATAGTTAAGAAATATTTGATAAGTAAAAGATAAAATCAATAAATGGTGTGTCTGGTTAACTACTTGGCTTTGAACCATTTTATTGATATTTGTATGGATTCCCTATTCTAGGTGCGCCTAAGAGTCTTGTTGAGGATCCTACATCAAAGAAGGCTTGGTAACTCGGTTGTTGGGTAGGCCATCTATACAGCTTTGAGAGGTAAGCTCTATGTTTATGGGATTCGCTCCTACTTTGTGTTCCGCCATAGTGTACGGATTGTGGTCAAGTTGTATGATATGTATGAGATATATGATATAGATGCATTCATATAGAACTATATGATTATGTGATGTGATATGTTTTTATGTGTTTAATTTGATATGTTTTGATGTGTTTACTTTGATATGTTTTGATATGATTTCCGTAAAGATCTCTGGCCATTGATTCTATATGCACTGATGTCCGCTTGGGGTCCTCCCTTAGAAACATGTGCACTGATTTTCGCTCGGGGTCCTCCCTTGGGAACATGTGCACTGATTTCCGCTTGGGGTCCTCCTTTGGGATTGACTGTGTACACCTCAGTTATGTGATGATCTCTGGCCATTGATCCTATGTGCACTGATGTCTGCTTGGGGTCATCCCTCGGGACTGATGGTGTACACCTTTGATATGTTCTAGTTCCACTTGGGGTCCTCCTTTGGGAACACGTGCGTTAATTTTCGCTTGGGGTCATCCCTTGGGAATGACTGTATACGTCTCTGATAAGATATGTGTATATGTTTTGTTCTGTTATGATATATGATGTTTTGTATATTATGTATCTGACTATCACGCAGGAAGTGAGCCCAGGGTATGGAGAGTTCTCTATAAACCTAGAGCTTACTAGAGATTCGTCTCTAACCCCGTCTGGGGATATGATTTCAGGAACGCAGTTAATTGAAGAGCCCTCACGGGACAAAGAGACTACCCGTGGCTAGAGGTACTAGTATGAGGATATGGAGTTCTGGGTGGTCGGACACTACTATTTATTATAAATGTTATTTTTTGAGAATATGTACTGTTGTATAGTGTTCTATTCATTTTAGGATCATGATGTTTGATCCATTATACAATATATGGTCCGTATATCTTTTGTACATGTGTTCATATTTGATGCATGTACATTTGTGTATTCAGATATGTGCATGTGCTGAAATATGTATGCTGTTAGACATAGTGGCACGGAGCCAGTTATGCATGCACCCATGGATGGGTATATAGTCCTATATAGATATCTGGTATTTCTGAAATCATATATGGTATAAACTGTTTATCAGGAACCTTTGAGAGTGGGATTGGCAAATCCCAGTTGTCCAATTTACAGAGGTTACTCTGCCCGATTTTCGTCTTCGTCAAATACGAATTAAATTAGGAGAAGTATGCAATGTGAGATATCATGTGAAACAAAATGAAGAATAAAGAAAAAAGTTAGCTTGTAATTTAGTAAGCTAATGCAAGATATTAAGTTAAGTCTTCTGCTGATGCATGTTTTAGTATCATATGTATGTTAATTGAACCGGCTCGAGACGGGGATGTTACACTAATCTCCAGGAAATCGAAGAAACAAACTACTGTGTCCAGATCATCATGTGAAGCTGAATATAGGGCTTTAGCTAGCCTTACTTGTGAATTACAATGGTTGTCTTATTTACTACATGACTTATGTCTCCCTCAAGAGCATCCAACATCAGTCTTCTGCGATAATGCCTCTGCAATTTACTTGGCACACAACCCTTCTTTCCACGAACAAACGAAGCATGTGGAAATTGATTGCCATGTAGTACGTGAGAAAATTGGCACTCACTTAATTCATCTTCTTCCTGTTTCATCACATGATCAATTGGCTGATATGTTTACCAAAGCCTTATTTCCAAATCCTTTTCATACTAATCTCTCCAAGTTGGGACTTCAGAACATCTACAGTCCCACTTGTGGGGGGATGTTGACATCTAATACAGCTTCAAATTCAAATGACTGCCACGTGGATACGTCAACTGATCCTTGTTGATTAGTTTCACTTCTTGCTAATTAGTTAATAGTTTGTTAGAAAGATCCATGTCAGTTTCTTTTCCTTTCTTTATCTTGTATCAGTATATAAGCTTGTAAGCTACTTTTTGATTTTTCCATTAATCACAATCAGATTTTTCAGTATCATAATACCGAACAACTCAAAAGTATATAATCCAAAATAGGCAAATTCAAAAATATATTAGGGACTTGAAGGATCTTGACATCTTGTAT